AGATAGATAGATATTCAGCTTTGATAGGTTTCTATTGTGTATCTCTATAGCAGCGTTTCCTAAATGGTGGATCTGGGTCTTGGCTGGAAGAATTTGTTTTGTTTACTTTAGCATTCAGCTTCAAGGTGAGTAGATATATGCTTTGAGTTGTGGCTTGATGTTGAGGCTTGTTTTCTTCTCGTCAATGGGTTGGGTCCCACTATTTTCTCCATCCCTCTTTCCAGCTCCCCTCTCCCTCCATTTCCTTTATATACCAACTATATCCTTCTCCCTCTCTTCTCCATGTCAGAATGCATACCTCTACTATTTCTCCTCTAAAACCAAATGTCCCTCGCTCCCTTCTTCCAGCCCCATGGCCGAGGGCAGCAGTGGTGGAGGGGTGCGTGTTCCCCAGGACACCAAGACAGGGGCTGCGTTGGCAGATGAGAGGGTGGACTTTCTCCGGGAGCAGGTAGGCCTATCCCACTGGGCACACACTGGTTTAATCAATGTTGTTTCCACGTCATTTCAATGAAATTACTTTGAACCAACGTGGAATAGATGTTGAATTGAATTGGCTGGGATATTAGTATAACAAAAACAAAAAACATTGAACTCCTTATACTCTTATACTCAGGAATTATCATGTAACATTTATTCAACGATGTCTGTCAGGAAAAGGCACGCGGGTTGTCAAAACAACTGGGAACTTGGAACTTGGATATCTCAGACATCCGACTTCAGTGCGTTCAAGACAACTGGGAACTCGGGGAAAAACGTTTGAAACGGTCATCCAACTCGTAAACTCTAGAATGTCCGTATGCATAGAATGCGTGATTCATCAAACAATCGTACAAACTAAGAAAAACAACTTGTCCTAGACTGAAATAGAGGTGCTAGTGTCAGAGGTTGAGTACAACCAAAATGTTTTATTTGGCTTGCTCAGTTGTGGCTTGACCAGAAAAAATAAAAACATAGGTACAAAGCCAGGTCCATTGGGACAATTCAAGTTGCTTTAGCAATGGCAAATATACTTGAAATGACACTCACCAATATGCCATCTTAAACAGCTCCCACCTGTAGGCGTATAGACCAAAATTGCTGTTCTGCAGAATGAACGAGTCTTGCGTTCCACCTGGCCACCTTGCCACCACATTCAGCAGCGTCTTTTGCGCATCACATAATCCATCACCTGCACATTAAGTGAGTGGAAGCATTTTCTGTTCACATTGTTGAACTCATTTTGGGATGGTGCTTTTATGGCGATGTGGTTGCCATCTATTGCTCCGTTAGTTTTTGGGAACCCATTGATCTCAAAGAAACATAATTTCAATTTCAAGTTTTAATTTCATGTGCACAAGTAGGCCTACAGTGAAAAATGCCATTTTTGCAAGGTCCAAACCCAACAATACAGTGATCAATGTCAATGTAGCACAAAAAATAACATAAGGTAGAACAAAAACACACAAGAAGATATACAAGAATAACACGAGAAAGTAAGAAGCTACTGTACATAGAGGGTCAGTTCCAATAGCATATTTACAATGTGCAGGGACACTGGAGTGATGGAGGTAGCTATGTATAGGGGTAAGGTGACTAGGCATCAGGATATATGATAAACAGAGTATCAGCAGTGTAAATTATGATTGTAAGTGTCTGTGTGTGTGCGTAGAGTCAGTATAAATGTGTGTGCATGTCGTGTGTGTTAGAGTGTCAGTGTGTCTGAGTGTGTAGAGTCCTGTGAGTGTGCATAGAGATAGTGCAAAATAAAATGTAAATTCAAGGGTCAACTCAGATAGTCCGTGTAGTCAGTCTCATGGCTTGGGGATAGATGCTGTTCAGGAGCCTGTTGGTGTCAGACTTGATGCATAGGTACCGCTTGCCGTGCGGAAGCAGAGAGAACAGTCTATGGCTTGGGTATCTGGAGTCTTTAACAATTTTACGGGCCTTCCGTTCACACCACCTGATATAGAGGTCCTGGATGGCAGTGTGCTCGGCCCCAGTGATGTACTGGGCTGTCCACACCACCCTCTGTAGCACCATGCGATCAAGGGCAGTGCAGTTGCCATACCAAGCAGTGCTGCGGCCAGTCAAGGTGCTCTCAATAGTGCAGCTGTAAAACATTTTGAGGATTTGAGGGCCCATGCCAAACCTTCTCAAATTCCTTAGGGGAATGTGTAAGTGGACCATTTTAAGGTCTTGGTGATTTGGACATTGAAGAACTTGAAGCACTCGACCCGCTTTACTGCAACCCCCCCCCCCCCCCCCCCGTTTCCTGTAGTCCACGATCAGCTTCTTGGTCTTACTGACTTTGAGTGAGAGGTTGTTGTCCCGGCACCACACTGCCAGGTCACTGACCTCCTCCCTGTAGCCTCTCATCGTCACCGGTGATGAGGCTTACCACCGTCGTGTCGTCAGTAAACTTGATGATGTTGTTGAATTCGTGGGTGAACAGGGAGTACAGGAGGGGACTAAGCACACACCCCTGTGGGGCCCCATGTTGAGGGTCAGCGTGGCGGAGGTGATGTTAGGCTTTATGGTTATTTGGGGAGATCGTTTTTTGCAGACAGAAAATGTTACACGTCTCATTAGGCCTATAATTGTAGCTCACTTCACTACAAACATTTATGATATTATTATTTCACAGCACACAATAGCCCGAGCGGTGTCCTATGTAGGGCTAAAGCAGACAGCAGATTCAAAGGCGATCAACAAATGATGCATCTAATGCACCATGATTCCAGGCGTTCTGTGTTCTACGGGTGAAGACTGACAAGTGGAATCGTTTCATTGGGGCAGAGGAGAACCAGAGGATTCTACTGGACTTCCTGGACCATGTCTGGAGTGACCGACTACTGCTCTTCACTGGTCCTGGGGGAACACTACACACTGGAGACGCACAGGTGAGAGACACACACACACACACACACACATAGCTACACATTGTAACGCTGATATGTGAATGCTACCATACAGCCGTTACACCTTAGCTTGTGGAAAGCCCTTGCAGCCATTTTTCAACTAACCTTTTCTTGACAATACATTGACATTTTAGTCATTTAGCAGATGCTTTTATCCAGAGCGACAATCCTTTCTTCGTTCTTGATTTGGAAGAAACTTGTCTCTTATAAACTTCTGTGTCCAGTTACAGGTGGAACTAGAGAATATTCCGAAAAATATTCAATCTACTTTTTGTATCGCGTAAGAAATGTCACTTGCATGTGTGTAGATCTTTGTTTTGGTCACACTGTGTGACACGCTGTCATCTATTTATAAAAATGGCCGCGACTAGTTCCTGCAAAGATGTTGGGAAATGCAACATGTTGGCGAGGGAACTCCTCACTCGGTGAAAAAGTGGATTTAATATCTTTCTGAATATTATCTGTTTTTTGGAGTACCACCTGCAACTAAACAGGTTAATAAAAGTTTATTCCGAATCAGAATGAAGAAAGTATCGCCAAGAAAAGGTTAGTTGAAAAATGGCTGCTGGGGCTTTCCACTAGCTAAGGCAACGTTTCCCAAACTCGGTCCTGGGGACCCCAAGGGGTGCATGTTTTTTTGTATTTTTTTGCATTACACAGCTGATTCAAATAATCAAGTTTTGATTATTTTAATCAGCTGTGTAGTGCTAGTGAAAAACAAAATGTCCCCCCATGGGGTCCCCAGGACCGAGTTTGGGAAATGCTGATAAGGTGTAATGGCTGTATCCACGTTACAATGTGTGGTTAACAGTTTTGGAAAATGTTGTCGCCTGGGAATAGGCCAACGCAGTCTTGTCTCGATACCCAGCTGGTTAGGCATCACACAATCTATTTCTTTTTCCTCCATTAATCATATACATGTTCTGATTAATGATTATAGACTACATAGGCTTATTGCAGTTGCTTTCACAATCACACTACCAGTCAAAAGTTTGGACACACCTACTCATTCAAGGGATTTTCTTTATTTTTACATTATTTTACATTGTAGAATAATAGTGAAGACATCAAAACTATGAAATAACACATATAGAATCATGTAGTAACCAAAAATGTGTTAAACAAATCAAAATATATTTTATATTTGAAATTCTTCAAATAGCCGCCCTTTGCCTTGATGTCAGCTTTGCACACTCTTGGCATTCTCTCAACCAGCTTCATGAGGTATTCACCTGGAATGCATTTCAATTAACAGTTAATTTGTGGAATTTATTTCCTTCTTAATGCGGGGGGGGGGGACACATTTCAAAATCAACTGTTCAGAGGGGACTGTGTGAATCAGGCCTTCATGGTCGAATTCCTGCAAAGAAACCCCTACTAAAGGACACCAATAAGAAGAAGAGACCTGCTTGAGCCAAGAAACACGAGCAATGGACATTAGACCAGTGGAAATTTGTCCTTTGGTCTGGAGTCCAAATCAGAGATTTTTGTTTCCAACCGCCGTGTCTTTGTGAGACGCGGTGTGGGTGAACGGATGATCTCCGCATGTGTAGTTCCCACCATAAAGCATGGAGGAAGAGGTGTTATGGTGTGGGGGTGCTTTGCTGGTGATGCTGTCTGTGATTTATTTAGAATTCAATGCACACTTAACCAGCATGGCTACCACAGCATTCTGCAGCGATACGCCATCCCATCTGGTTTGGCCTTAGTGGGACTCTCATTTGTTTTTTTAACAGGACAATGACCCAACACACCGCCAGACTGTGTAAGGGCTATTTTACCAAGAAGGAGAGTGATGGAGTGCTGCATCAGATGACCTGGCCTCCACAATCCCCCGACCTCAACCCAATTGAGATGGTTTGGGATGAGTCGGACGGCAGAGTGAAGGAAAAGCAGCCAACAAGTGCTCAGCATATGTGGGAACTCCTTCAAGACTGTTGGAAAAGCATTCCAGGGGAATCTGGTTGAGAGAATGCCGAAGGTGTGAAAATCTGTCATCAAGGCAAAGTGTCCCTTATAGAAATATATACAATACAAATAGAAAGCATTTCCACTATGTTTGCATCTTTGAAGACGTCAGCCCCCTGGAAGACCAAGCTGATGTGTGTGCTGAAGAAGGGGGTCCTGAGGATCACCATGCAGGGCTTCAGGACTCAGCTGTGGCTGGGGGAGGTCTCCGGACACCCCATGGAGCACATGCCTCTCCTCATCTCTGAGGTAAGTGAAAGGGGAGAGGTGTGTTTTTGTGTTTGTTTGGGGTGAGTTGGGGGGAGAGGGTTTGGGGGAGAAGGTATGTGGGTGTGGATGTGAAGGTGCTGATATCCGTCCTTTGTATCTATCTCTGAATTACCATGGGGGTTAGGTTCTGGTGTCAGTGTTATCTAACTCTCTGAACCACGGCGGTTGGCCTCGGGTGGTGTCTGAGGACATACACAGACACCTAGAGCAGCTGAGGAGTAAAGTGGTCACCCTGAGAGGCAGGGCAGAGGGACGGACCCTGCTGCCCCTACCACTGTGTGTGGAGAGAGCTCAGCCACAGGACATACTGCTCAGGTCAGTGTGTGTGGGATTGTGAGGTAGATCTGTGTGTGTGTGTGCGTTTGCGTGTGCGAGTGTGCGACTGTGTTCTCTCTCCCCCTAGCTCTAACGGCTGGCCGATAGACCGGGCTCTGCTGTACTCTATAGAGACCCTTGTGATTCAGTGGTCTGGTCAGATCTGGACCGTTCTGAAGAGGGATTCCAGCATGGTGCTACAGCAGGGGGACCACCCAGGCCCCAGCGCAGAGCTCCTCTTCTGGGCCTGTCAGAGAGACAACCTGCTAGGCATCCATTCACAGGTAGGCTGGAATAGAGTCAGGTCAGTGTGTATGCTTATGTTTGCTCAGAGTTTTTTTTTCAAAGTTTTTGTGTTCTCTCAGATTGTGAATCCTAAGGTGGAACAGATCATGGAGATTCTGAGGAGGATCAAGAGTAGTTACTACGCCTCCTTCAACGACATCTGCCTCAAAGTCAACCAGGGTAGTGCGAGAGACCTTGTTCCATCACAAACATTATCCTTTACTTATCTCCTTTCCCGAATCACCACTGACCCCAATGTTTCTCTCTCATAGCGGTTTTGGAGGCTGAGGATATAGACCTGTACCTGAGACCATTGAGGAGGCTGATCAATAGTTTTGAGGAGAGTAGTTTCAACCAGATAGAGATGCTGTTACCTCCTCTCTTCCACACTCTGTGTCTAATCTGGAGCCGCTCACAATACTACTGCTGTCCTCAACGCATGGTGGTCCTACTGCAGGAGTTCTGCAATTTACTCATAGAGAAGGTGTGTGTGGGGTGTGTGTGTGTGTGTGTGTGTGTGTGTGTGTGTGTGCGTGTGATGTGTGTATTATGCATAATACCTCTCTGTTTGTGTCTCCAGGCATTTGGGTATCTGATCCCAGAGGAGCTGTTTAAGATGGAACTGGAAGAAGGAGTGGAGAAGGTTCAGATGACCATCAGTGTTCTGCGGAGCTTCAAGCATCTATTCCACACACACCGCCAGTGCATCCCTCAGTACTACCGCAGCGGGGAGACTGTAAAACACTGGGACTTCCCTTCCAAACTGGTCTTCCACAGGGCTGACCGCATACTGGACAGGATGCTCATGATTGAGGTGTGTGTCTGGCATGAGTTTGTGTGTGGCTCTGGTCACAGGTAGTGCACTATATAGGGATCTATCCATCCATCCATCCATCCATCCATCCATCTATTCATCCATTCTTCAATGCATCTATCAGGAGCTGTTTGCATCAGCGCTGGACTTCCTGAAGCTGGAGAAGGTTGAGCTGGGAGGGTCGATGGGGAAGATCCTCAGTGAGATGGTGTTCAGTATGAACGAGGAATTCCATGACAGCTGGAGAACACTGAGGGAGAGCAAATACGACCCGCTGGACTACACTAAAGAGGTGAAGCTCATTACACCTCTGTTACATTTTTACAAATACTTTATTTAACCATTATCAAACGGCCACTAACAAGATGTTTTTTTGCTGGTGTGTTTAGGACTTCCTAGTGGACTACAGGCGTTTCATGGAACAGAACAAAGACTTTGACCAGAGGCTGGGGACTGTTCTCAACCTGGCCTTCCAACACTCTAAAGGCCTGGAGTCTGCCTTCAAGGTGAGACACACCTGAGAAGAACCCTATCCTCTAACCCTTACCATAGCCCTGACCCTTTACCCTAACCATAGCCCTGAACCTTTACCCTAACCATAGCCCTGACCCTTTACCCTAACCATAGCCCCCCTAACCCTAACCATAGCCCCCCTAACCCTAACCATAGCCCTGAACCTTTACCCTAACCATAGCCCTGACCCTTTACCCTAACCATAGCCCCCCTAACCCTAACCATAGCCCTGACCCTTTACCCTAACCATAGCCCCCCCCTAACCCTAACCATAGCCCTGAACCTTTACCCTAACCATAGCCCTGACCCTTTACCCTAACCACAGCCCTGAACCTTTCCCCTAACCATAGCCCTGAACCTTTCCCCTAACCATAGCCCTGAACCTTTACCCTAACCACAGCCCTGACCCTTTACCCTAACCATAGCCCCCCTAACCCTAACCATAGCCCCCCTAACCCTAACCATAGCTCTGACCCTTTACCCTAACCATAGCCCCCCTAACCCTAACCATAGCCCCCCTAACCCTAACCATAGCCCTGAACCTTTACCCTAACCATAGCCCCCCTAACCCTAACCATAGCCCTGAACCTTTCCCCTAACCATAGCCCTGAACCTTTACCCTAACCATAGCCCCCCTGACACTAACGATAGCTCTGACCCTTTCCCCTAACCATAGCCCTGACCCTTTACCCTAACCATAGCCCTGACCCTTTACCCTAACCATAGCCCCCCTGACACTAACGATAGCTCTGACCCTTTACCCTAACCATAGCCCCCCTAACCCTAACCATAGCCCTGACCCTTTACCCTAACCATAGCCCCCCTAACCCTAACCATAGCCCTGACCCTTTACCCTAACCATAGCCCCCCCTGACACTAACGATAGCTCTGACCCTTTACCCTAACCATAGCCCCCCTAACCCTAACCATAGCCCCCCTACCACTAACCATAGCCCCCCCTAACCCTAACCATAGCCCCACCTAACCAAAGCCCTGACCCCTAACCATAGCCCTGACCGCTAACCATAGTCCTGACCCTTTACACTAAACATAACCCTGACTCAGTGCTTTCTGTTTGTGTGATTGTAAGAGCATGGTTTTCTGCTCTCTGTGCCTATGCTCCTCCAGCTCCTCCAGATCTTTGGCACCCTCTTGGAGAGACACAGGATCAACCAGCTGTTCTCCCCAAACTACAGCACCCTGCTGGGCATGTTCAACACTGAGATAGACCACTGCCAGCTCATACTGGACCAGCAGAGAGAGAGGGTGAGAGACGAGGGCCGGAGGGAGGGAGAGTGGTGGAGAGAGGGAGGGAGGGGGAGAGGAGAGAGGGAGGGAGAGAATGAGGGAATGAGGATTTGAGAGTTTGCCAGTCTCTTCAGTCACACAGAGGTTTATTGTGGTTTTGTTGCAGTTGCGGTCGGGCTGTGCGGTCCTGAGTAAGAACATGCCACCGGTCGCTGGCAACCTGAAGTGGTCGCAGGAGCTACGAGACCGCATCCTGACTAACCGCGGCAACCTCAACCATCTCATACGCATGTAGGTCTGGTCCACACACATACACACACACTCTTTCTCGCTCTCATCCCGCCTCCCCCTCTCTCTTGGTGTCCCAGGCCACTGGGTTCTGCTGAGGCGGAGCAGGTTCTCCAGAAGTGTGAGCGGGTTCTAGAGGTTCTAGACCAGCACGATGAAGAGCTGTACTCCGTGTGGACGGAGGGGTTGGAGGAACTGTGCAACACACACCTCCAGGAACCACTACTCACCCTGGATCAAGAGACAGGACTGTTCCAGGTCAACTTCAGCCCTGCAGTAAGGCTCCCTAATCCCCTGACCCTTACCCTGTGGTAGGATCCCTAGACCCTAACACCTGACCCCATACCCTAACTCCCAACCATGAACCCTAATTGTAACCTCTAGCTCTAAACCTCTATCCCTTGATCACTAACATCTATCTACAATCAAAACCCTAACCTTAACCACAACTTCTAAACTCCCCGAGCCCAAGTACTACTGCTGCCAGGGTAATGCTCTAGTCCAGGGGTAGGCAACCGATTTTTGTCGGAGCAGATGGTCGGGGGGCCGGAACATAATTATAATAAATTGTACACTGCAAATGTAGCATAGCTAAGCCTAAAAATAGATTGTATTTGAAAATAACAATCATTTCATACCTTGAATTACATTGAGACATGATCACGGCTCTTTTTTTATTTGTGGGAATACTTGGGAACAGATTTCCTAAATTAAACAAATGTTTTGCTGAATTCCTGGTCTTTTTTTCGACCATTTTTATGTATTTATTTATAAAAATCACTTTTGCTGACCCCTGCTCTAGTCAGTGCCTGACTCCCTCTCTTCTAGTTGACCTCAGTGCTGAGGGAGGTGAAGTATCTGGGCATGTTGAAGAACCACAGCATCCCTAAAGATGCTCTACACCTCTACTCCAAACGAGAGACACTCTATATGGTGGGTCTGTCTCCTAAACACACGCATAAACTAACACACACACACACTCTGCGTTGTGTAGTATTGTGTTAGTGTATTGTGATGTTGTACTGTATGTGTTTATTGCAGTACACCCAGACCTTGGCCCTGATAACCCAGTGGTACAATCGGCTGCACAGCACCATCCTGGATGTGGAGCTGGGATTGGTTAAGGAGGAGATGGGCGGGACCAGACGGCAGCTAAACCCCGCTCTCCAAGAACTGACCTGGAGTAGGGATGACCTGTGGGACTACGTTCAGACCACACGAGACCTGGTGCAGGTAACACACGCTCCTTCTCTCTCTTTTCATTTCATACCTCCCTCTCTCATTTCACACCCCCATCTCTCTATCCCTCATCCCTCCCTCTCTCATTTCCTTCCCATCCAGGATGTGTCCAGCAGGGTCCAGTCTAGTAAGGATAACGTTGAGGTCATCCAATATATATTTATCCTCTTCATCCCTCTCTCCTCCCCTCTTCATCCCTCTCTCCTCCCCTCTTCATCCATCTATCCCTCCCCTCTTCATCCCTATCTCCTTCCCTCTTCATCCATCTATCCCTCCCCTCTTCATCCCTCTCTCCTCCCCTCTTCATCCATCTCTCCTCCCTTCAACCCTGTCGCCTCTCTTCTCCATATAGGATGTGTCCAGTAGGGTCCAGTCCAGTAAGGCTAACGTTGAGGCCATTCAGGCTCTGATGGGGAAGTTCAGTCACCAGGCCTTCATCACCAGGAAGACCAGGGGTTCCACCCTCCTCATCCTCACTGACATGGAGGAGAGCATCAGCAAACAGTACACACTCATCACCAACACAGGGGAGCAGATACACACACTGCTAAAGGTATACACACACAGAAAATACACACACACTGTACATATACATAGTCATACATAGACACAGACACATACAAGTACACAAAAACACAAAATCGCATGACATCTCTCCCCCTCTCTCTCCCCCTCCTCCCTCTATCTCTCTCTTTCTTTCTCTCGCTCCCTATTTCTCTCTCTCCTTCTATCTCTCTCTCTATTTATCTGTCTCTCTCTCTCTCTCTCTCCTTCAGGAGAACCTTGCTCTGTTAGGAGTGTCAGCCCCAGACTGTGCCGAGTGGAGGTCCTACACTGACTATGTTGACCGCATGGTTCTAGCAGGGTTCTCCAGTGCAGTACGCTGTTCCCTACAGTACCTGATCGAGAACACTGACCCAGCCCACCGCATCGCCCCGCTCTTCGAGGTCCAGCTGGTCCTCAACGCCAACGAGATGACCTTCGAACCCTCACTGGACATCAGTCGCCAGGGCAACTTCTATGACATCATCGACAAGATGGTGGGCGATATCACCAAGATGGCATCGTTCATACCCCGCGTGGCCAAGCATAAACAGATGGACAACTATCAGGTAGAATAGATTACACACACACACACACACACACACACACACACACACAAACACACACACACAATATCAAAATAATCTGATTAACCTTTTAACCTTTAACTTTTGGCCTTTGACCCCTCCCTCCAGTCTGACATAGATAGGATGGCCGACCTGTCAGAGCTGGGCCAGGTCATCAGAGGTCGTGCCCGATCGGCCATCTCTAAGGTCAGAGAGTACCAGGTGTCTTTCTCCAGCTACCGCTACCTCTGGACAGATGACAGGTAAGTGTGTGAATAAATGTTGTGCTCAAATGTGTGTCCTTCACAATGAAGCGTATTGTGGATCCTAATAAAGTATTTTAAATGTGTGTAGGTCAGAGTTTATGAGACAGTTCCTGCTGTATGGTCATGTCCTGAGTACAGAGGAGGTTGAGCTCTATGCAGACTACGAGCTGGCTAAGAACCCACCCACACTGGACAACTTTAAAGAACAGGTAAGAGTGGGTAAGAGGCAGTCCCAGAGAGCTACAGTGCTTTTAATAGTTCCTCTTAATTAGTTGTAGGGGCGAGGGGGATAAGTTGAGCCATTCTTTATATTCAGCATCACTCTGTCAAGGGAAATATAGCATTCTTTCTAACAAAGATATCTACATAGCGTCCTGTAGCTCAGTTGGTAGAGCATGGCACTTTCAACGCCAGGGTTGTGGGTTCGATTCCCACGGGGGGCCAGTATGAAAAATGTATGCACTCACTAACTGTAAGTCGCACTGGATAAGAGCGTCTGCTAAATGACTAAAAATGTAAATATATTTCAGGATGTTGGGTATCCCTGGAAATAATCAGAATTCATGTAAACATGACAGTTTTGAAAACATAGCTTGTCCCCCCAAAAAGTGGTATTTTGGCACAACTTACTCCAGGTATGGGGTAAGTTTAGTCGTGGGACAGGGTAAGTTAAGCCGACTACAAATGTCTGTACTGAATGAAATATTACCACTACCTTTTTAAAACATTAATCAGGTTTCCATTCAACCTTTTTATGCGAGTTAAGTACATGTCGGATAAATAATGTCACGACAGGCCTGATGGAAACAGCTAAATTGTCTGTAAACTTTCCAAATGTCGACAAAACAAAATACGCTAGACAAGATGGGATCTTTTTGTTTCTGTAAAATGAATTATGCAAGAAATGGCAGTGGAAACTCTTTTATGCTCAAATATTATCGAAGTAAACTTGGGCATGATGATATGTTGTGTGGTCCTCCCACTACGTCTCGGGAAAGCATACAGTTTATTAGGCTACAGATGAAATAAGTTATGGCGAACTTCAGAGGGTGGTGAAAGTGCATGGTGATGAGCTTGATGCTCCTTTCCGATAAATGTTTAGGGTATCTGCAAGCTGCTGGCTAATCCCAGAGTGGGAATTTAACCGCAAAGTTATTTTTATGTGCACTACGTCATCACGCACAGCCTTTTATCCATAACAAGTCAATTTGATGGAAACACATCTATGGTGGGAAAATGTGCATTGTTTTTATGCAGATGTTTGAATATTCACTTTAAAATCAGTCACCAATTGGATGGAAACCTAGCTTGTGTCTATCTTTATTTCCCAAACACAATTTTTTTTGTATTTTAATAATTTCAAGCATATTTTAACACAGGCTTAACACCTATTCAAACACTGTACTTTTTGTTATATCACATCCCAGCAATAATGCCTTTCATTATAATATGCCATTTAGCAGACGCTTTTATCCAAAGCGACTTACAGTCATGTGTGCATTTTTACGTATGGGTGGTCCTGGGGATCGAACCCACTACCCTGGCGTGAATTTATTTATTTTTTTACATTTTTAGTCATTTAGCAGACGCTCTTATCCAGAGCGACTTACAGTTAGTGCATACATTATTTTTTATTTTTCATACCCCCTGTGGGAATCGAACCCACAACCCTGACGTTGCAAACGCCATGCTCTATCAACTGAGCTACATCCCTGCCGGCCATTCCCTCCCCTACCCTGGACGACGCTGGGCCAATTGCACGCCGCCCCATGGGTCTCCCGGTCGCGGCCGGCTACGACAGAGCCTGGATTCGAACCAGGATCTCTAGTGGCACAGCTAGCACTGCGATGCAGTGCCTTAGACCACTGCGCCACTCGGGAGACTATGACAGGTAGTTACAAGTGCCACTGCGCCACTCGGGAGACTATGACAGCTCCGTTACAAGTGCCATGCTCTACCAATTGAGCTACAGAGGACCACATTACACTTGGGAAGAATACCATTCAATTTGGTAAACTTGGCATTGGCTCAACCATTGGCTCAACTTATCCCATGGCCATTGGTTCAACTCACCCTATGGCAAACATTTTGACTATATTAGCCCACACATCTACAAGGATGCACTTTCATGCTAGGTTTAGGACCTCATATTGAAGCTTATAGAGACCCCAACTGATGTATAGAACAATCTTACAATTATCTACTATGGTTTAGATACAAGCACCATAAAACCTCTAACACAGTAAATTCATTTAACTTGGTGAAAATCAGTTTTTTGGACCTAACTTGCTTACCACTTTCTCCATGTGGTTTATTCCTTCACAGACTCCATGAAATGATGACCTCTTCCTAAATATTTGGTCAAATTATTAATTTTGTGTATGGTTTCCTAGAAACAAGGGCGGCTCAACTTACCTTACTCTCCCCATACTCTACTTGCTCTAGATCAGTCTGATTCAGTCTGTGTGTGGTTCTATGTTCTAGATCAGTCTGTTTGAGTTTCTGTACGTGTGGGTCAGTAAGCTGGGGGACAGGAGGGTGTTCTGTGTTCTAGATCAATCAGTGTGTGTGGTTCTATGTTCTAGATCAGTCTGTTAGTCTCTGTACGTGCGGGTCAGTATAAGCTTGAGGACAGGAGAGTGCTATGTGTTCTAGATCAGCCTGTTTGAGTCTCTGTTTGGTGCTGTGTTTTAGATCAGCCTGTGAATGATTCCTCACCAAACCTAGACAAAAATGACCATGATTTTGTGGATTTTTATGAAATGTAATCCATAGAATAGTCCTTTGGATGAAAGATTGTTGACATATGTATATTTGACATTTGTATCTAAAAGCATAATTGAGAAATAATTGATCAAAGTTGCCATATTTATTAAATTAATAACCAGGCCTCCTTTAAAACGTCATAGTGTTTCATCTGTAGGTGCTACAAAGCAAACATTGGTGTCATATGAAGCTCTGTAATATGAGTAGTATTTTGATTTCAATAACTTTTTCCAAATTAATTTATGAATATTGAGAAATATGAACATTAATATTGAAAATATATCATTTTTGATTTGGCAAATGTTTTAATATAATATATTTTACGGGCATATCAAAGTTCCAGAGTGGGATCTCTGCTACTTTTAGAGTTATGATCCAATTTGTAAGCATTACCAACAGAGTGAATGTGAAAATGGATTCAAAATAGTTGCCCTCTGCTGGTGATTTGCGGTTCTGACTAGCGGGAGTACAGCTACAACCAGAAGGGACATTTTCGTAGCAGGTTAGAAGAATTTATGTTAGGGTTAGCTAAAATGCTGTCCTAATCTGCTACGAAAAGTAGCTTCCGGTTGTAGCTTTACTCCCTCTAGTCACAACCGTCATTTGCAGGATGTGGAATGATACAACTAAAAGGAGGGCTGTGATTGGTTACATTTCTCTGTACTGTATAAAATGGGCCATAATTTTAAAACTAGCAGCGACATTCAACATTCATTAAAGCATTTTTTTTATATATATTGAAATCAAAATGCTACTCATATTACAGAGCAAGCGGCAAAGCCTCATATGATACCAATATTTTGCTTTGTAGAATTTACAGATGAAACATCATTGAGTCTTAAAGGAGGCCTGGGTAAGGCCAAAATGTCATAAATATGCCAACTTTGATGAATTATTTCTCAATTATGCTTTTAGATACAAATGTCAAACATATGTCAACAATCCTTCCTCCAATGGACTATTATTCTATGGATAACATTTCGTGAAAATCCCCAAAATCATGGTATTTTTTTGTCTGGGTTTTGTGAGGAATCACTACTGTTTGAGTCTTTTTGGTACTTTATGTTCTAGATCAGCCTGTTTGAGTCTCTGTACGTGCGGGTCAGTAAGCTGGAGGACAGGAAGGTGTTCTGTGGCTGGCTGCAGCTGGACATCAAGCCCTTTAAACTGGCCCTGATGAACGTCATCAAGAGGTGGAGCTGGATGTTCAAAGAGCACCTACTCAACCATGTCAATCAGAGGTGACACACACACACAGATCAACGCATACACACACACACACACACACACACACACAAATGTGATGTGCACTCAATTAAACACACACACATATAAATATAAACAGACACACAAATCTGTCTATTTACTGTGTCTCCCACTTCCAATACACTGCATATCCCCTCTTTAACGTTCTCTCTCCATCTCTCTCTCCCCCAGTGTGACCGACCTGGCATTGTTTGTCCAGAACACATCTTGTGGTCTGTCTAATAAGGTCTCAGACGGGGACTATGCTGGTCTGGTGGATATTATGGGTCATCTGATGGCCATACGGGACAGACAGATCAGTGCTGACCAACACTTTAAACCACTCAAGTCCACCACTGATCTACTCAAGACCTACGGACAGCAACTACCAGGAAGTGTCTATACACAGCTGGAGGTAGACTACAGACACACACACACACACACACACACACACACACAAATGGAGGTACACACATCCCACCCAATGATCATCCGATGATGCCTGTGATACCTTATAATGTCTTATAACCTGTGTAGGAGCTGCCTGAGAAGTGGAAGAGTCTGAAAAAGGTTGCATTTACAGTGAAACACGAGGTGGCCCCACTGCAGTCCAACGAGGTCTCCGTCATACGTAGGAAGTGTGTCCGCTTTGAGGTGAGGCGCGAGCGCGTGTCCAGTGTGAGGTGAGGCTGTGTGTGATGGGTGTAGTATATCATACACAGACACACACGATACCATAATGTGGAGGACCCCTACAGAGAGCTTAGCAACGCTGTGCAAACTGATCTGTCTGCTTTTCTGAATTATAGATGTTAGATAAACCTACCTGACTCTCACCTGACCTGACCAACACTTCTATGTATCTAGATAAATATACTGCATATTGTAGCCTACTCTATCTAAACTGTATGTTTGAAGAATTCTATGTTATTATCTTTCAGATCAAGCAGCATGAGTTCAGAGAGCAGTTTCGCACTGAGGTCATCTTCAGAATAGACGTGGAGGAGCCTTATAAGCTGATTGACAAGGTTACCAGCTCATATTCATATTGTAGGAGGCTGAAGAAGGCAGGGATTGAGTGGATTATGGGAGATGTAGTTTATTGAGTGGGGAAAAGGCAGCCATTTTTTTTAACTTAGTCTATTAATATGCGAGGGCTGTCTTTGATATAGCTAGGTATGTTCGAGAGAGTTTTATAACTGTGTAACTTTGCTTGTGTGTGTAGTCTAACCGTGTTGTAGCAGTGTTGGAGGCAGAGATGCGTAAACTCCAGGACACAGCTGATCTGTTCGAGGTCAGTTTCCCTGACTACAAGCAGCTCCGCCAGTGTCGCTCTGACATCATCCTGGTCAAAGCCGTCTGGGACATGGTCATCTTCGTCAAGGTAAAAACACCACTCTGATTGTAGCTGAAGTGAGTTAAGAGAAGTTATTTTGTCTTTCTCTGATTGTCACTGTATTGTATGTGACGTGTAACCCAGACCAGTATAGAGGACTGGACTAAGACCCCGTGGAAAGAGATCAACGTGGAGCAGATGGACATGGAGCTCAGGAGATTTGCTAAGGTGCTACATCCGACACACATGCACACACACACTTTCATCTGACAGATTGAAGGGAAATACCACACCTTTATCTGAGTGCATGCTAGCTGAAGCTATTATATTTGTTGTGTGTGACTATAATGCCTGTGTACATGATGTATCACGTGAATGTGTGTGTAGGAGATGAAGACCCTGGATAAGGAGGTGCGTGTGTGGGATGTGTATCTGGGTCTGGAGTCAACGGTGAAGAACCTGCTGACGTCTCTTAGAGCGGTCAATGAGCTGCAGAACCCTGCTGTCAGAGAGAGACACTGGCAACAACTCATGAACACCACAGGGGTACAACACTCTCTTTCTCGCCACATACTTCCCTCCCTTTTGTTCTCTCTCATCCCTCCCTCTCACTCTTTTTCTCTCTCCATCCCTCCCTTCCTCCTGCTCTCTCTCTCTCTTGTTGTCCCTCTCTTACCATCTACTGTCAGAGAGAGGTCAATGGTCATTGCTCATGAACACCACCGGGGTACCACACTCTCTCACTGACCTTTGACCTCTCACCTCCTACCCCAGGTGCGGTTTGTGATGTGGGAGGGGACCACTCTGGGAGACCTACTGGAGCTGCAGCTCCACAGAGTGGAGGACGAGGTCAAAATTATAGTGGACAAGGCCGTCAAAGAGATGGCCATAGAGAAGGTGCTAGCTGAGATCACTCAGACGTGGAGTGTGATGGCGTTGTCTTATGAGAACCACCCCAGTACAGAAACTCCACTGCTCAAGTCAGACGAAAACCTGATTGAGACGCTGGAAGACAATCAGGTAACCTACTACACAATAACCCAATTCATAGTCTCCTTTTTAGGTTAGTCCCTCTCTCCGCTCACTCAGTTCCACTCCAGGGAATACTCATTGAATTCAGCAAAAAAAAGGTACAGTGTCCTATTATTGCAGCACTGTATCTCCTGAAGGGAAAAAAGTAAAACACTTATGAGCAAAAACAATGATAGAAAATTCCATAGATGTACAGGTAGTGAAAGGTCTAAAATGACTTTAAAACCCCTTACTGTATAACTACAATACTATTTAATTGTCCTAATTCATATTTTCTTCCCCGACCCCTCCTAGGTGCAGCTGCAAAACATCCTGATGAGTAAGTATGTGGAGTACTTCCAGGCAGAGGTGAGTGGCTGGCAGAGGAGGCTAATGGTGGCAGACCTGGTCATCTCCTCCTGGATGTCTGTCCAGAGGACCTGGGCCCACCTCAACAGCATCTTCACCAACAGCCACGACATACGCTCTCAACTAGCCCACGATGCTGAGCGCTTCCAGGGCATACACTCTGACTTCCAGGTAGATATACTACATAACACACATACACTAATCCTTAAGAGTCTAACGACGCACACGTGCGTCAATCTAAGAAACATAATACAAAAATTCCCATCAAAATCCATCAGTTTAAGATAGAGATATCAGGGTTTTTTGCATGGGCTGCGTCTCAATCCACCACATCCACTTATGTCGGCCTTCCCACATCAGCGGTGGAAGGTGGCCGAGGTACAGCAGTGTTTGTCAGACCATGAGACGTCCTGAAAATCGGTCTTCTCACGAAAACGTCAGTAGCGTCCAAACGGTTTGGCCTATTTTATGACCACTCTATGGAAAGGGGAGACTCTCACGAACACAGTGGTGTTCTCCGTTTTGCTATACAACCCCCAGAGGTGTCACAGGACTCGTCTGAATGTAACACTTACAAACAAATGGAAGTATGGAGGTAGTTTTGTGTCCAAAAAAACAAAAATATTTATCCTAGATATAGGACACTTCAAAACCTTATTCTTTGTGATACATTTTTTTACTGTCTTTTTTTGTCATTTATGAATGTGTTATTCAATGCGTTTCAATTCTGCACCCACACACTACTAGAACAAACGTTCCTCAAGCACAAACCAATGTTTACAATGTTGACTGTGAATAATGTTTATAATGACTTAATTCTGTATGTGATTTAATGAAACAGAACATGATGACAGAGGTTGTCCTGACCTGTAACGTGGTGGAGGTCACCAACCAACCTGGCTTCCTGGAGAAACTAGAGGCTCTGCAGCAAAGGTGCGTGTGTGTGTGTGTGAATGCAGTTCGATTTGCGTGTGTGTGTGTGTGTGTGTGTGTGTGTGTGTCTGTACTAACTCTACTGTCTCTCCCCCCAGGCTGTCAGTGTGTGAGAAGGCCCTGGCTGAGTATCTAGAGACCAAGAGACTGACGTTCCCTCGGTTCTACTTTGTCTCTGCTACAGACCTACTGGAGATCGTCTCCAAGGGAACACAACCCAAACAGGTGAACATCACTCACCTACTTTTTAACATACAGTATACTGCATGAAATACACTAGATGGCCAAAATCATGGGCATTAATATGGAGTTGCTATAACAGCCTCCACTCTTCTGGGAAGGCTTTCCACTAGATGTTAGAACATTGCTGAGGGGACTTGCTTCCATTCAGCCAGAAGAGCATTAGTAAAGTCGGGCACTGATGTTGGGCAATTAGACCTGGCTCGCAGTCGGCGTTCCAATTCATCCCAAAGGTGTTGGATGGGGTTGAGGTCAGGGCTTTGTTCAGGCCAGTCAAGATCTACCACACCGATCTTCTACAAACCATTTCTGTATGGACCTTGCTTTGTGCACGGGAGCATTGTCATGCTGAAACAGGAAAGGGCCTTCCCCAAACTGTTGCCACATAGTTGGAAGCACAGAATCGTCTATAATGTCATTGTATGCTGTAGCGTTAAGATTTACCTTCACTGGAACTAAGGTGCCTAGCCTGAACCATCAAAAACAGCCCCAGACCATTATTCCTCCTCCATCAAACTTTACAGTTGGCACTATGCATTCGGGCAGGTAGCGTTCTCCTGGCATCCGCCAAACCCAGATTTGTCCGTCTGACTGCCAGATGGTGAAGCGTGATTCATCATTCCAGAGAACATGTTTCCACTGCTCCAGAGTCCAATGGTGGCGAGCTTTACACTACTCCAGCCGACGCTTGGCATTGCGCATGGTGATCTTAGGCTTGTGTGCAGCTGCTCGGCCATGGAAACCCGTTTCATGAAGCTCCCGACGAACAGTTCTTGGGCTGACATTGCTTCCAGAGGCAGTTTGGAACTCGGTAGTGAGTGCTGTAACCGAGGACAGACGATTTTTACACGCTACGCGCTTCAGCACTCAGCAGTCCCATTCTGTGAGCTTGTGTGGCCTATCACTTCGCGGCTGAGCCGTTGTTGCTCCTAGACGTTTCCTCTTCACAATAACAGCACTTACAGTTGACTGGGGCATCTCTAGCAGGGCAGAAACTTGATGAACTGACTTGTTGGAAAGGTGGCATCCTATGATGGTGCCACGTTGAAAGTCACTGAGCTCTCCAGTAAGGCCATTCTACTGCCAATGTTTGTCTATGGAGAATGCATGGCTGTGTGCTTGATTGTATACACCTGTCAGCAATGGATGTGGCTGAAATAGCCGAATCCACTAATTTGACAGAGTGTCCACATACTTGTAGTGCATGATGATGATGATGGTGTGTGTTTTTGTGTGTGACCCAGGTTACCAGGCACCTGTTGAAGCTGTTTGATAATGTGGCGGACCTTCGCTTCCGAGACTCAGAGAAAGGAGGAGAGGCGCCGGGAGAGAAGAAAGAGGGAGAGGAGGATGAGGGGGAGGCAGTTGCCATAGGCATGTACAGTCGAGAAGGGGAGTACGTACCCTTCTCCGAACCCTGCATCTGCGAAGGACAGGTAGGAACACCTTTGTGTGTGTGTGTGTGTGTGTGTGTGTGTGTGTGTGTGTGTGTGTGTGTGTGTGTGTGTGTGTGTGTGTGTGTGTGTGTGTTTGTACATGTCTATGTGTATGTCTGAAACATATATATGTGTGTGTATCTGTAGGCAGAGTGCTGGCTGAGTGAACTGGAGCGGACTATGCGCTCTACTGTCCAGAGGGAGATCCAAGAAGCTGTCGCTGCTTATGAGGACAAACCCAGAGACCAGTGGCTGTTTGACTACCCAGCACAGGTGTGTGTGTGTGTGTTTTTGTAGTCTCCAAACTCACAATTCCACTCAAAAGCATTGCTACCAAACTATACTACCGAACTAAATCTAGATTTTCAGTTATCCGTGCACAGAAATGTGCCTGAATTTCAAAAGTGTGTGTTGTCCTCCTCTGTCAAGGTTGGTCTGACTGGCAGCCAGGTGTGGTGGGCAACAGACGTGGGCATCGCCTTTGAGAGGGTGGAGGAAGGCTTTGAGACCGCCCTGAAAGACTACAACAGAAAACAGGTACACACACGTCTGTGATATATCACCCAGTTGATCTAAGTCTCTTATACACATGATCTGATCCCTGGTGTTTGAGAGAAGTGTGATGATTATGGTTATGTGATGGTAGATCACCCAGCTGAACTCCCTGATCCATATGCTCCTGGGAGACCTGACTCCAGGTGACAGACAGAAGATCATGACCTTGTGCACCATCGACGTGCACGCTCGCGACGTGGTCGCCAAACTCATAGCACAGAAGGTAATATAACCACTGCCCTCAGATCACAAATCACTTTTATAACAGGTGAATAAACATAACCTTGAAACAACTTTTGAACATATTGCCCGTAACACTGCTCTGAGATCAGATTTACATTCTCTAATCATTTTACATTTTAGTCATTTAGCAGACGTTCTTATCCAGAGCTACTTACAGAGTAATTAGGGTTAAGTGCCTTGCTCAAGGGCTCATCGACAGATATTTTCTCTCACTTAGTCAGCTCGGGGATTTGAACCAGCAACCTTTTGGTTACTGGCCCAATGCTCTTAACCGCTAAGCTATCTGCCTCTTTTATAGAACTATAAAAGAGTCACTCTTAGATGCTGTTTAGGCTGGGTTAATAACAAATTGACTCTTGGGGGTTTGGTTCCTAGGTGACAACGGGACAGGCGTTTGCATGGCTGTCCCAGCTGCGCCATCGTTGGGATGACGTGACGAGACACTGTTACATCAACATCTGTGATGCTCAGTTCCAGTTCTCATACGAGTACCTGGGCAATACCAACAGACTAGTCATCACTCCACTCACTGACAGGTACACACACATACAGGCAGAAACTCTTCCTATAGATGCTATATCACTCTAAACCAGGGGTGTCAAACGTCCGGCCCGCGGGCCGGATCAGGCCCGCAAACGGGTTTAATCCGGCCCGCGAGATGATTTTGTAAAGTATAAAAATGCCCTGCAATTTTTCAATAAAATAAACTGCTGTTCCAATTGCGTCCACTGGATGGCGCAATAGCAATTGTGTTAAGCAAGCAAACTGTTTATACCGGGGCAGAGCAAGTAGGTCAAGTCTGTGTTTACTCACAGCCGAGACATCAGTGACGCTGCAGTGAAAGCTAGCTACCTCATTGCTAATGAAATCGCAGTGGCTTCAAAACCATTTAGTGAGGGTGAATTTGTAAAAACATGCATGATGAAGGCAGCTGAGATTGTGTGCCCTGAAAAGCGTCAGGCTTTTGTAAATATCAGCCTGACAAGAAACACAGTTGCAGACAGGATTTCCGATCTTTCAGTGGATTTGGACAGCCAGTTGAAGCAAAAAGTAAAGTCATTTATTGCTTTTCGGTTGCAATTGATGAAAGCACGGACATTACAGATGTTGCACAACTGGCCATTTTCATCCGCGGAGTTGATGACACATTGACCGTCACCGAGGAGTTCGTGGAGTTGGTGCCGATGACAGATACAACGACAGCAGCTGATATTTTTACCGCACTCGTCCGCGCGCTGGACAGGGTCGGAGTGGACTGGTCCCGCGCTGTCAGCCTGGCTACAGATGGTGCGCCCTCAATGATTGGGAAATAGGCAGGCGTTGTGACAAAGTTCAGAGAGAAAGTGCAATCTGCAAATGGAGGACGTGATTTTTTGACTTTTCACTGTATTTTGCACCAGGAGGCTTTGTGTTGCAAGTCATTAAAGATGGATAACGTCATGAAGGTGGTCATCCAAACTGTTAATTTCATCCGATCCAGAAGCCTGAATCACCGTCAGTTTGACAGCCTTCTCAGAGAGAAAGACCACATCTATGGCCTGCCATACCAGACTGAGGTAAGATGGTTAAGCCGAGGTGCTGAGGCGTTTCTTTGATTTACGAGAAGAAATTCCATTCCGCAGAATGGATGCAGGACCTTGCATTTATGGTGGATGTTACAGAGCACCTGAATAACTTGAACAAACAGCTGCAAGGGCGCAACAAAGTTGTCACGCAGTATTATGACAGCATACGTTCTTTCAAGTTGAAGCTGTCATTGTGGGAGACGCAACTTGCCGGTGGTGATGCAGCTCACTTCCCCTGTCTGAAAAATGTGTGCGCTACCCAACATGTGGCAGACATGAAGCGGTTCAAAGATAAAATAACGGGACTGTTACGGGAGTTTGAGCAATGCTTTCAGATTTTTGGTGAACTCAGAAAGACTTTAAAGGTTTTTGCTCGCCGTGAATCCCTCTGATCTGCCCATCAGCATCCAACTTGAAATAATAGACTTGCAGTGTGACTCGGATTTGAAGGGCAAATTTGCCGCAGCTGGCTTGGACACATTTAATCAGAATCTCTTGCCAGGTTACCCCAACTTGACAGCCCTCGCTGCAAAACTGTTGTGCATGTTTGGAGACACATATCTTTGTGAGCAAGTTTTCTCTGTAATGAGCATAAATAAAACAAAGCTGCGCTCAAGGCTCACGCACAAGCACTTGAATCACATCCTGAAGTTGGCTGCCACTCAGGATGTGACGCCTGATATTGATGCGCTGGTGAAAGCTAAAAGATGCCAGGAATCAGGAGTCAAATAAACTATGCAACTCCACTTAAAGTGCTACATGAGACACCCTGATATAGTTCTGTGATCTGTGATATGCTTATGTGAATCACTGAGGCATTGTGTGTTTGTGTGTTCTTTGTCCTCAGAACTTTCAAATAACTTGAGGTGTTTTATGATTAATAGTGATGTTGTGCTTTTGGACACACTGTCCTCAGGCGCCAGCTTTATGTTTATATGTTTTTATGTTGATGTGCTATTGTTTTTAATTGATTTTATTTTATTTGTATATTTAACCTATTCTTGACTCTGTGGTTCTTGCACTTGTTTGGGGAACAGGATTTCATTCTTTTTATCTACATTTCTGCCTGAGAAATGACCCCCTGATATAGTTCTGTGATCTGTGAAACAGTTCTGTTAATCACTGAGGCATTGTGTGTTTGTGTTCTTTTTCTTTAGAATTTTCAAATAAACTTGACGTGTTTTATGATTAATAGTGATGTTGTGCTTGTACTATTTTGGACACGCTGTCCTCAGGCTCCAGCTTTATGTTGTATGTTGATCGTATTAAAACAAAGAAAACAATCTGAAGTTGTTGTTTTTAAGTTATATATACCATGATTTTTCCGGTCCGGCCCACTTGGGGATAGATTTTCCTCCATGTGGCCCCTGAGCTAAAATGAGTTTGACACCCCTACTCTAAACTAGTTTACCGACCTATTACTGAAAAATTCATTGAAAGTATAGGGAGCGTTACTTTACTCACCGCAAACCTATTTTTTAACCACTACAGTAATGGTCTCTGCAACTCACTATGATTTCCCCACACAAGCACACACCACTTTCTCTCTCTCTCTTCTTCTCCCCAGGTGTTACATCACTCTGACCCAGTCTCTCCACCTGACGATGAGTGGCGCCCCATCTGGTCCAGCAGGCACTGGGAAGACTGAAACCACCAAGGACCTGGACCGTTCCCTAGGCATCATGGTCTATGTATTCAACTGCTCCGAACAGATGGACTACAAGGTAGGTACTCATAAACTGGTAGAGCTGTGTGGATACACTGTGTTTTGTAAAATATAATCTACGTTTGTGTGTTTCTGAATCCACCATTTCTTTCCCCACCTCTTCTATAGTCCATAGGGAACATCTATAAAGGTCTGGCCCAGACGGGTGTGTGGGGCTGTTTTGATGAGTTCAACAGGATCTCTGTGGAGGTGCTATCTGTGGTGGCAGTACAGGTCAAAACCATACAGGACGCCATCAGGAACAAGAGACAGAGGTGAGGGACTCCTAGCTACCTAACTAATGTCATTCAACAAATCCAAGAGTCTTTGTGTCTTTCGCTAAGATTTGACTTGGTTTGTGTTCCTGTTTGTCAGGTTCTATTTCCTAGGTGAGGAGATTGAGCTGAGGCCGACTGTAGGGATTTGTATCACTCTGAACCCAGGCTATGCTGGGAGAACTGAACTACCAGAGAACCTCAACGCCTTGTTCAGGTGACACACACACAGGCTGAATCGCAAATCGACCCACTCCATCTCTTCCTTCAATCTGAATATTCACACTCTCCAATTTAGGCCGTGTGCAATGGTGATTCCTGACTTTGAGTTGATCTGTGAGATCATGCTGGTGGCTGAGGGATTCATCGATGCTCGCCTGCTCGCACGCAAGTTCATCAGCCTGTACACGCTCTGCAAGGAGCTGCTTTCTAAACAGGTACACACACACACACAAACAAACAAACACACACACACAAATACACGAAGAAACACTCTAATACTGTATAATACTGCATATGTGTTGTAGGACCACTATGACTGGGGCCTGAGGGCCATCAAGTCAGTGCTGGTGGTGGCTGGATCACTGAAGAGAGAGGACAGGAGCAGACCAGAGGAACAGGTAACACAGTGTTTATCAACCAGGGTGTCTTCCCTTAATGACCATACTATAGAAGCTATATTGTCTGTCTCTATAGGTCTTCATGATGTTCCTATATTCCTGTCTGTCTCTATAGGTCTTCATGATGTCCCTATATTCCTGTCTGTCTCTATAGGTCTTCATGATGTCCCTATATTCCTGTCTGTCTCTATAGGTCTTCATGATGTTCCTATATTCCTGTCTGTCTCTATAGGTCTTTATGGTGTCCCTATATTCCTGTCTGTCTCTATAGATCCTGACATTTCCCTATATTCCTGTCTGTCTCTATAGGTCCTGAATAATCCCTATATTCCTGTCTGTCTCTATAGATCCTGACATGTCCCTATATTCCTGTCTGTCTCTATAGATCCTGACATTTCCCTATATTCCTGTCTGTCTCTATAGGTCCTGATGCCAGCGTTGAGGGACTTTAACCTTCCTAAAATAGTAACCAGTGACGTCCCCATATTCCTGGGTCTGATCAGTGACCTGTTTCCCCTGCTGGACGTCCCCAGGAAGAGAGACCCAGAGCTGGAGACAGCTGTACGACAGTCAGTCAGCGAACTACACCTGCAGCCTGAGGAAAACTTCATACTCAAGGTATAGCAATGAAATGAAATGTAAAGTCTGCCCACTGTTTGTCTTAATCCCACATATTTTTACTAAGCTAGAGATGAACATGTAATTGATCATCGTATTGCTTACAATTCACCCCCCCTTCTCACTAGGTGACTCAGTTGGAGGAGCTGCTGTCTGTCAGACACTCAGTGTTTGTAGTGGGAGGAGCTGGGACGGGGAAGAGCCAGGTAAACTCACTAACAATCACATTCACACAACTTAATCGAAGCCAACTGTATTAAAATGTCCTCTATGTAACTCCAAAGCAACTTGTATGTCAACGTTATATCTTTGAGGTTGTTAACATGTGGTAATTTGTGGTTGGACAGATCTTGAAGACCCTCCACAGAACCTATGCTAACCTGAGGATGAAGCCTGTGTGGCACGACATCAACCCTAAAGCTGTGACCACAGACGAACTGTTCGGCTATCTACACCCTGCTACCAGAGAATGGAAGGACGGTCTGTGGTCTATACACAAACACACACACACACAGTGTAGAAACTTGCTGTTCGGGTTTGGTCAATGTTGATTTTGTCCTCCATTTTAGGCCTGTTCTCCTCCACTATGAGGGAGCTGACACGACAGGTGGGCCATGACGGGCCCAAGTGGATAGTTCTGGATGGAGACATAGACCCCATGTGGATAGAATCCCTCAACACTGTCATGGATGACAACAAGGTACGTGTGTGTGTCTCTCTGTCTCATTCCTTCTCTTTCTCTCTATCTGTCGGTGCTGACTTATTATCTTTCTCCTCCTCTCTCCATGTCTCTTTCTTCTATGGTACTGATAACTCTCCCCCCTCTCTCTCTTTCTCTCTCTCTCCCCCGATCTCTCTCTCTCACTAGGTGTTAACCTTGGCCAGTAATGAGCGTATCAGTCTATCTTCCTCCATGCGGCTGCTTTTTGAGATCAGCCATCTAAGAGCTGCAACCCCAGCCACAGTCTCCCGCGCTGGGATACTATACGTCAATCCACAAGACCTGGGCTGGAGCTCGTCAGTACACACACTCATGCAGGGACACACACACACACACGTATGCATGTCCACTCTCACAATGTGTTCTGGCCCTCAGGTACGTGACAAGTTGGATTGACACCAGGCAGGCCCAATCAGAGCGAGCCAACTTGACCATCCTGTTTGACAAGTACGTTCCCTACTGCCTGGAGCAGGTCCGCTGTAACCTCAAGACCATCACTCCTATACCTGAGAACAGCATGGTGCAGGTAACACACACACACACACACACACACACACACACACACACACACACACACACACACACACACACACACACACACACACACACACACACTGTTGTCCAATCAGACACTGTGTTCTCTATCTGCTGTCCAATCAGACACTGTGTTATCTGTCTGTTGTCCAATCAGACGCTGTGTTCCTTGTTGGACTGCCTGCTGACAGAAGACAACACTCCTCCTGACTCTCCCAGAGAACTCTATGAGATCTACTTTGTCTTCGCCTGCGTCTGGGCCTTTGGAGGAGCTCTGTTTCCAGGACCACGTGAGTGTTTGTGTGTGTGTATGTGGAGGGTGTATGTGTGTGTATGTGTGTGTTTGGGTGTGTGTGTGTGTCTACTCTCTGTCAGTGCCAGCAACCCATGTAACTCTACCTCAGCTAATATTTATCAGCTAACATTGTCTTTTCCAGTTGATAGACTATCGTGCTGAGTTCAGTCGCTGGTGGTCGAAGGAGATGAGAGCGGTGAAGTTCCCTTCGCAGGGCACAGTGTTCGACTACTTCATAGACTCAGACACTAAGAAGTTCACTCCCTGGAGTGAGAGGACGCCCCGGTTCGAGCTGGAGCCTGAAGTCCCCCTACAGGTCTGTACTTGTTCTGGCTCCCTTAGTGAAGCGCATTTATTTTAAGTCTCTCTGCATGAGAATGTGTTCTAAATGACTAAGATTCACTGGTGTGCCTTCGTAATAGCAGTATGCACGTGTGTGTGCGTGCGTTGTAGTGTGTATTTGTGATGTGTGTCTGTGTGTGTATTTCTGACGTGTGTGTGTTTCCAGACGGTGCTAGTCCACTCGGCAGAGACCATCTGTCTGACGTACTTCATAGACCTGCTGCTGCAGAGAGGGAAGCCTGTGATGTTGGTGGGGAACGCTGGAGTTGGGAAAGACCATCCTGGTGTCTGATAAAGTAGCCAAGCTAAAGGAGGACTACATGGTGGCTAAAGTCCCCTTCAACTACTACACCACCTCGGCTATGCTACAGCGTGAGTCGCCCGTGGCAACTGCCTGCCACTGTATGCAGTAGTTTGAGTTATACCTGCCTGGTTCCATTTCAATTACTAGAGCCACTTATTAGACGGCAACCAGGAATGGAACCAGGCCAATCTCTGCCCTCAAGAACCGATTCAGTATCAGCCCTCCTACTTCACTGATGATTCCAGTGTGCCGTATTTTAATGGATATGATGTTTAAAAAACCCTAGAGGCGATGTCCGCACCCGTGCTAAAATCGAATTAGCATAATACAAAAATCCCCATCAAGATCCATCTGTTTAAGCTAGAGATGTCTAGAAATATCTGAAGGTGGCAGAGCTACAGCGGTGTTTGTCAGACCAGGAGACATCCCGAAAATCCGTCTTCTCATGAAAACGTCTGTAACGTCCAAACCGTTTGGGAAATAAACTAATAGGACCCCTCTATGGAAAGATGAGACTCGCACGACAACGTACATGTCGGTTGTTGCTCTAGGACTCCCACAAACCTAACAAGACTCGTCTGAAGGTAGCCCTGTAAGAGTTAAAACATTTAACAGAAGTATATATGGTCCCCTGTAGCTCAGTTGGTAGAGCATGGCGCTTGCGACGCCAGGATTGTGGGTTCGTATCCCACGGGGGGCCAGTATGAAAAATGTATGCACTCACTAACTGTAAGTCGCTCTGGATAAGAGTGTCTGCTAAATGTAAAAATGGAAGTAGTATAGTACCCCCCAAAAAATTGTGAAATAATAATTTCTTCCTTTTGATACATTTTTTTACTCTGATTTGCCATGTATTTGCCAGTATGTTATTCAATGCGTTTCTATGGGCAAGAAGCAGTAAGACCAAATTCAATGTTTAATCAATTATTTATTTTATTTTATTTTTTTATACCAAAAGGGGTCCCAGAAATCAAATAGCAAAATGATCCATGGTATGACCATCTTAAAACAATTCCATATGTTAGCTTAGTAGAACACCCACCCGAAAGGCTATATTCCTGCTGTCTATAGTGACATAATGAGATGCGTGTGTGTGTACTACAGGTGTGTTAGAGAAGCCTCTAGAGAAGAAGGCAGGGCGTAACTATGCTCCTCCTGGAACCAAGAAACTCATCTACTTCATAGACGACCTCAACATGCCTGAGGTGGATGTGTATGGGACTGTCCAACCACACACACTCATACGCCAGCACCTGGACTACAACCACTGGTGAGAGGACACACACACGCGCACACACACACTCAAACATCATTGCATGGACTACAACCGCTGGTGTGTGTGTGTGTGTGCGCGCGTGTGTGTGGTCTTGCAGGTATGACAGACAGAGGCTGGTGCTGAAAGAGATCCATAACTGCCAGTACATCACCTGTATGAACCCTACAGCAGGGAGCTTCTCAGTGAACCCCAGACTACAGGTAACACACACACATACAGTCAACTCAAGACAACAGTAACACACACACACACACACACACATACACACACAGACTAACCCCTCTCTCCTCGCTCTCTCTCAGAGGCATTTCTCAGTGTTTGCAGTTCATTTCCCTAGCGCTGAGGCACTAGCCACCATCTTCACTAGCATCCTGTCAGCCCACTTCCTCCAGGGGGGCTTCAGCTACGGCGTCTCGCGCTCTGTAGGAACACTAATACAGGTATACGTCTGTCTGCCTGTCTGCCTGCCTGTCTGTCTGTGTCTCTTTCAGTCAGTCTGTCTGGCTGTCTGTCTGACAATCAATCCACTTTCCTCCTCCCTCCCTCCATCCATTCTTGTCTTTCTACTCCTGCAGGCAGCCATCTGTCTCCATCAGAAGATCAGTCAGAACTTCCTCCCCACGGCCATTCGCTTTCACTATATCTTCAACCTAAGGGACCTCTCCAACATCTTCCAGGTAGCACACATATACATTGAAAAAACATCATTGTCATCATCAATCTTCATCAATATGGATTCATGCCTCTCTTTCACTCTTTATCTACGTCTCCCTCTCTGTGTAGGGTATTCTGTTTGCCCTGCCAGATTGTGTGCGTTACCCCATAGACCTGGTCCATCTGTGGCTCCATGAGTCGTCCCGGGTGTACTCTGACAAACTGATGGAGGAGAAGGATGTGGAACTCTTCAACAAGATCCTACTGGACACTGGCAAGAGATACTTTGAGGTGAGAGACATGTGGCAGCCATCTTATGGGGTTGTTACAAACAAGACTGCTTGACATACGCCTTGCTACTCTCTTTACTTCCTTCACTCATATTGACATATGTGATCTTATGTAGCAAAATTTGAAATTGTGTTTTTTTACATTAGATAAAAGCAGAGACACAGAGCTACAAAATTGTATATTATACACTGCATTTGAGGAACAGTGGGAAAGTAATTCTGCTTTGAAAGTTGATAAACTTCTAACCTCACTTTTGAGAAAATTGGAATGTTTTGAGGCCTTTGAATGTTTTGGTACCTACAAGAGAGCTCTTCTTTGTCTACACCCATTCAACATCGTTCACACCCTCTTAAGCTTTAGCCCCACCCATCTCTTTAAGGGTTTATCCGAGCGTTCTGTACTAACAACAGCAGTCAAGCACCCAAGCTAACTGGCTAACGTTGGCTAGCTTGCTAGCTACTTCCAGACACAAATGAGCTGGTTAGGCTGTTTTTATGTTATCCAAAGCATTGGTGATTGCAACTGTGCTGCTGGCAACAATTTACGCTTTTTTTGCCAATGTTTACTGACACCGGCCATATTCAACGGGTGTTGAGCGTTTGTAAATTCGTCAGTTATTCTGCACTCTGAAAGGTAGGTAAACAATTAACCATAATCCCAACTCATGACGTTACTACCCTGCATGAATCTGCAGGTAGCTAACCAACCAGGTTCAATGTTAGCAAGCTAGATCATATAACTAGCCAAGCAAATGGCTCTGAGACACCCGTTGAATATGGCCGGTGACAGTAAATGTCGGCAAATAAGCGTGTGCACTCTGAACAATCCAAGAGCGACACGCTCTGAATTTACCAACGGACAATCTGACAACGCTCTAAATTTATGAACGCCCAGAGCGCACTCTGAGTGCTCTCTGGCACTCCAGAGTGAATTTACGAACGCACTCTTGCATAGTGGAGTCTTTTGTTGAGATATCTAGCTAGCTAGCTAAACAATGAACCATAATCCCAACTCATGACGTTACTACCCTGCATGAATCTGCAGGTAGCTAACCAACCAGGTTCAATGTTAGCTAGCTAACATTAGGCTATAACTACAAAGCAAATGGCTCTGAGATACGAATAATTAGATCATACACGTAATGTTAGCTAGCGAGCCAGCCTGCTAACGTTAGCTAGCTAGCTAACAGTACACTTTCTGTCAAAATTAGAAACGTGTAATATCTGAAAATGTAGCTAGCTAGTCACGGATGCATGGTTGCCCTTAGTTTGAAGATGTATTCCAGAGACAGGTGTTTTCTCCATCTCCTTAGCTATCATACTCTAATTCCACTGATTTCAAAACTCGGTCCTCCAGAAAGTGGAGAGCAACACTTATGTAGCTCTACTACACGATACATTTTTTTTTTAAAGCTGCGTTAGACAGGATTACCTACACATACTAACCAGCTCAAATAGACAGACGCGTGCTATATGGCAGACCAATCCGAACTCCTCTCATGTCCAGCCCACTCATTATCTCAGCCAAGCATGGCTAGTGGGAAGGTTGCTGTCTTTTTCTGTGGTTAAAATAACTAGGCTTGTAATTTAATAATTTTATTTGTATTTACAGATGGCATACAAGTTTGTTATTATGGCACATGAAAGTTCACATGTTCCAGAAGGCATTTCTGCCAAAAAACGCATTTTGATTTTTTTTAAAAAAAGTTTACATTCAAATGGCTGTCATGTGAAGTAGTGACCCATGACATACGCCTAGTTTCCTGAAACGAGTCACATATTGTGTCTCTCTGAGATTGCTTATAGCAAAGTGATCAATATGGCCTTTCCTTATACAGTGTAATCGGAAAGTATTGAGACCCCTTCCCTTTTTGTCACGGTACAGCCTTACTCTAAAATTGATTAAATAAAACATTTTCCTCATCAATCTACACACAAAACCTCATAATGACAAAGTGTAAAAAGGGTTTTAGAAATGTTTGCTAATGTATTAGAACAAAAAAACAGAAATAGCTTATTTACATAAGTATTCAGACTCTTTGCTATGAGACTCGAAATTGAGCTCAGGTTCCATTGATAATCCTTGAGATGTTTCTACAACTTGATTGGAGTCCACCTGTGGTAAATTCAGTTGATTGGACATGACTTTGAAAGGCACACACCTGTCTATATAAGTCCCACAGTTGACAGTGCATGTCAGAGCAAAAACCAAGCCATGAGGTCGAGGGAATTGTCCGTAGAGCACCGAGACAGGTCAAGACACAGATCTGGGGAAGTCTGAGTTAGTCCCCAGAAAGGCCAAATTGATACAGCCATGTGTATCTAACCTGGACTCAGGGTTAGACATAACATAGTAACACACCAATTAGTATGACATGTTTCGTATGGCATGTATTCATTTTTTGGATGTAAAACATCAATTTCGCATGATATGTTACGAATTATAATTCTTATGATATGTTGCGAAATGCAATTCGTAAGATATGTAACAAATTGCAAATCGTACAATATGTTACACATTTGTAAAACGTATGATGTGTTTTGAATTCAAATTTGTTGTGGCTAACGTTAGCTAGGTGGCTAACATTAGCTAGGCTAGGGGTTGGGGTTAGGGGTTAAGGTTAGGGTTAAGGTTAAGGTCAGGGTTAAGGTTAAGGTTAGGGGAAGGGTAGTTAACATGCTAACTAGTTGCATAGTAGCAAACAAGTAGTAAGTAGTTGCAAAGTTGCTAATTAGCTAAAATGATAAAGTTGTCCGTGATGAGATTTCAAACACGCAACCTTTGGGTTGCTAGACGTTCGTGTTATACGCCAACACATCTACCCCGACCATCCACCCTCCTTTAGATTTAGCCTTAAGTAACCTTCTGTCTTATGTAACCATACCAAAAGTAACGTATCAAACTAATTTATGTGTGCCAGATTTACATTTACTATGTTACGTCTAGTCTATAAGACCAGGCTGTGGCATCAGGTATGCACCTACACCACACTACACCTCAACCATCAACGACATACTGGCATCCAACCTGGAATAGGGGTAGACGTAACATAGTAAAAGTAAATCCGGGATACTCCAATTAGTATGATATGTTACGTTTAGTATAACATTTATTAATTTGTGGATGTCCATAATTCATTTCGTATGATATGTTACGAATTGCAAATCGTACAATATGTTACACATTTGTAAAACGTATGATATGTTATGAATTCCAATTTGTTGTGGCTAACGTTAGCTGGATGGCTAACACTAACTTTAGCTAGGTGTCTAACGTTAGATGGGTTTGGGTTAGTGTTAGTGGGATGGTAGCTAATATGCTAAGTTGTTGCAAAGTAGCTAAAAAGTAGTAAGTACTTGTAGTTTGCGTTATACGCCAACACATCCACCCCGACCAACCACCCTCCTTTCGTTTTTGCCTTAAGTAACCTTCTGTCTTATGTAACCAAACCATACCAAACATAACGTATCATACTAATTTGAGTGTCCCGGATTTACTTTACTATGTTACGTCTAGTCTAGAAGACCAGGCTGTGGCATCAGGTATGCACCTACCCCACACCTCAACCAAACATGTTTTTGCCATGGACTTCCTGTGGCTAGAGTCACCCCTGTCTCCTTGCGAGTGTGGACCCTGTTTCCTTGTTAGTGAACTAGTGTGCACCCTATTCACATGCTAGTGTACTGTGCACCCTATTTCCTTAGTGTGTGTGTTCTCTATCCGTGGTAGTGTTTGCCCTGTCTCCTACGGGACATCCCAAACCTGATCAGTGAGGAGGAAGTGGGGATGATCGTGACGCCTCGTTCCATAGCTAGTGTGTTAGTATGCTAGTGTATGTCCTGTCTCTTAGGGGACATCCCAGACCTGATCAGTGAGGAGGAAGTGGGGATAATCGTGACGCCTCGTTCCCTAGCTAGTGTGTTAGTATGCTAGTGTATGTCCTGTCTCTTAGGGGACATCCCAGACCTGTTCAGTGAGGAGGAAGTGGATATGATCGTCACGTCCATCCGTATGGAGCTAAGAGGACTGGGCCTGATGGACAACAGAGACAACTGCTGGGCCTTCTTCATCGAGAGGATACGGCGACAACTCAAGGTCTGGCTAGAGAGCTCAATGACATCAATCAGCTCTATAACAGCAAATGTAATAGGTGTAAGGTGGAAACTATACTGAAAATATAAACACAACATGCAACAATTTCAAGTATTTTACTGAGTTACAGTTTTTATAAGAACATGAGTCTATTGAAATAGATTCATTAGGGCGCAGCCATAGGTGGGCCTGGGAGGGCATAGGCCCACCCACTGGGGAGCCAGGCCCAGCCAATCAGAATGAGCCCCAGAAAGGGCTTTATTACAGACATAAATACTCCTCAGTTTCATCAGCTGTCCAGGTGGCTGGTCTCAGACAATCCCACGGGTGAAGAAGCTGGATGTGGAGGTCCTGGGCTGGCGTGGTTACACGTGGTTAGTGTTTGTGAGGCCGGTTGGACGTACAGCCAAATTCTCTAAAACGACGTTGGAGGCGGCTTATGGTAGAGAAACGAACATTCAATTCTCTGGCAACAGCTCTGGTGGACATTTCTGCAGTCAGCATGCCAATTGCACACTCCCTCAAAACTTGAGACCATCTATGGCATCGTGTTGTGTGACAAAACTGCACATTTTAGAGTGAACTTTTATTGTCCCCAGCACAAGGTGCACCTGTGTAATGATCATGCTGTTTAATCAGCTTCTTGATATGCCACACCTGTCAGGTGGATGGATTATCTTGGCAAAGGAGAAATGCTCACCAACAGGGATGTAAACAAATTTGTGCACAAAATTTGAGAGAAATAAGCTTTCTGTGCGTATGGAACATTTCTGGGATCTTTTATTTCAGCTCATGAAACATGGGACCAACACTTTACATGTTGCGTTCATATTTTTGTTAATTATATGTGCTATTTTTGCAATACAGTATGCGTTATTTATTTCCTAGAGAGGGAAAGGTCAACAGTGACAAATAGTTGATTTCTCTCTCTCCTCTTTTCTCTCTCCCCCCACTATTCTTCTTCCCCTCCCGCCTTGCTACAGGTGGTCCTGTGTTTTTCCCCGGTAGGGTTCACCCTGCGTACCCGTGCTCGTAAGTTCCCGGCCCTGGTCAACTGTACGGCCATAGACTGGTTCCACTCCTGGCCTCAGCTGGCCCTACAGTCTGTCAGCACCACCTTCATAGAGAAGATACCTGACTTGGAGGTAAACAACAGTCTGAAGACGCATCACAATCACATAGACAGTGGATGATAATTATTGAAAACATTCATTTATGTTTGCATATCCATGTTCTCTCTAACCTCTCTAGCCGGATGTCCGTGCGTCCATCAGTGAGTTTATCTCCTACGCCCATACCAGTGTTAACGAGGTGAGAGATTGAGAAATAATTTTACTTTACGACATAAAGGGTCATCATAGTTATATAGATCATTTGTGTAATAAATCAATTGACAGATAATTTGAATGTAATATTGAATGTACTTCATTGTCTAAATGTGTTCTAGGTGAGTGTGAAGTACCAGCAGAATGAGAAGCACTTCAACTACACCACTCCCAAGAGCTTCCTAGAGTTTATGAAGCTGTACGGTAACCTACTGGGGACAAAACGCAGAGAGCTCACCCAGAAGATGGAGAGACTGGAGAACGGCCTGCAGAAACTACAGACCACAGCCTCACAGGTCAGTCAGACTCACAGCCTGCCATACACCACACACACACACACACACACACACACACACACACACACACACACACACACACACACACACACACACACACACACACACACACACACACACACACACACACACACACACGCACACACACGCACACACACAGGAACACACTTAGTCTCTCCCTTTCTGCCTTCTCTCTCTCTCGCTCTCTCTCTCGCTTTCTCTCTCTCTCTCTGATCCATCTCTCTACCTACCCTCCATCCCTCTCCACTCCTCCCTTCTCAGGTGGAGGATCTGAAGGCTAAGTTAGCGGTCCAGGAAGTAGAGTTGTGGCAGAGGAACACAGACACAGAGGCGCTCATCTCTAAGATCGGCCAACAGACAGACAAACTCAACCAGGAGAGGGCTGTGGCAGACGCAGAGGAACAGAGGGTACGAGTGAGCATGTGTGCACGTGGGCCTTGATCAGTTTTAATGAATCCTTAGAAATCAAAATGGTATTACTAGTAATTATTAGGTAATGACCATTTTGATGTGTCAGTTCTAAGTTTACATTTGTAATGTATACGTGTTTAGTGTGTAGTGCTGTGTGTTGTTGTCCTTAGGTAGGAACCATCCAGGCTGAGGTGACCACGCAGCAACAGCAGAGTGAAAAGGACCTGGCTAAGGCTGAACCTGCCTTACAGGCAGCTAACGCAGCCCTCAACACACTCAACAGGGTAAAACACACACAGCTCTACAGGCAGCTAACGCAGCCCTCAACTGGGTAACAAACAAAACACATACATGATTTGAATCATGAACTTAATACATGACTGGGCTTAAAGGCCAAATTCAATCATAAACGTGATTTTCCTGTGTTTTATATATATTTCCACACTATGAGTTTGGAATAATATTGTGAAAATGATGATAATGCCCTTTTAGTGTAAGAGCTGTTTGAAAAGACCGCCAGAAATGTCAGCCTGTTGTGGTGGAACTGAGTTTTGGCCTGCCTGGTGACATCACCAGGTGGTAGCTTAGTTAATAGACCAATAAGAAAGAGAGTTCCAAACCTCTCTGCCAATAACGGATAGTCTTCAGTTTTCCCCTCCCCACTCAGACCACTCCGACAGTCCTATCAAAATTCTTGCTTGAGAAATTGCTCTTAGCTAAGAAGTCTTTTTTTTGGAGGGACCATTTTAATTGAAAACAATCACAGTAAGGTACTTAATTGCTACCCATTAAAAAGCTCTGACGAAGGCCTTGAGGCCGATACGTAAAGCTTAATAAAGAGCAGTTTGTAGGTTTCTTCTTTTTTCTCTCATGTTATTCAACTGTTACCATGCACCTGCAACAAAGATAGCTCAGATGTGCGAGTGCCTTTTGAATTTTAATACTAATTGCTACCCAGAAATTATTCGATATTGAGATAAAAACAGGTATATTGGACCATTAATACATGATCTTTTTAATATAATGTAATTCCTAATAATGTGTGTGTGTTTCTCCCCCTAGCTGAACCTGACAGAGTTGAGGACGTTCCCTAACCCCCCAGCCATAGTGACTAACGTGTCTGCTGCTGTCATGGTGCTACTGGCTCCTCATGGTAAATTACCCAAAGACCGCAGCTGGAAGGCAGCAAAAGTTGTCATGAGCAAGGTCAGTATGTGTGTGTGTGTTGTCTGTGTGACCGTGTGTGTAAGGAACATATCCCAGAGGTCGTCTGTCTGGCCGTCCGTGTGTCTGTGTCACTGTGTGTTAACGGCAGTGTTTCAGAGTGTGTACGCCCGTGTGTGTGTCTATGCCCAGGTGGATGACTTCCTACAGGCGTTGGTGAACTTTGACAAGGAGCACATCCCTGAGGCGACAGTGAGGTGTGTGAGAGATGAGTTCCTCAGTGACCCAGAGTTTAACCCTGAGTTTGTCAGACTCAAATCCTCTGCCGCCGCTGGCCTCTGTGCCTGGGTCACCAACATCATACGCTTCCACGAGGTACACCACACACACACACTGTATACAGATGCACACACACAAACTGAACACGTAACTGCATGTATAATAACCAAATACAGTCTTACCTCTTGTCCATTTGAAAAGCAGCATCTGCTCAAAGCTAGGGAAGAGTAGTGTTCGTTAGCTCGTGTTATTTTTCTCACAGTGTCCTTTTCCTTTCCTCTCCTACTGCTATACATAGATGTATGTAAGTATCTCTCTCACCTAATACCCTGAGGTTGGCTACCACACTTCTTTTAAGATACTGTATTACCCTTTTGGATGTTTGTAACTTAAACTGATGTTATAGTATGTGAATTTGTGAGCGTGCTTGTGCATGTGTGTGTGTTAATATGTGTGTTTCCTCTCCAGGTGTTCTGTGAGGTGGAGGTGAAGAAGCTGTGTCTGTCTCAGGCTAATGCTGACCTGGCTGAGGCTGCAGACAAACTAGAAGCCATCAGGAAGAAACTAGCTGTGAGTCTCTCTCTCTCTCTCTCTCTCTCTCTCTCTCTCTCTCTCTCTCTCTCTCTCTCTCTCTCTCTCTCTCTCTCTCTCTCTCTCTCTCTCTCTCTCTCTCTCTCTCTCTCTCTCTCTCTCTCTCTCTCTCTCTCTCATATTTTCCCTTAACTGTGTGTGTGTTGTAGGAGTTGGACAGTAGTCTGGACACCCTGACGGCTGCGTTTGAGAAGGCTACCTCTGAGAAGCTTCGCTGTCAGGACGAGGTCAACCACACCAACAAGACCATCGAACTGGCCAATCGCCTCGTCAAAGGACTTGAGGTGAGGAGCTGGCTGACCAATAGGAGCTCCGTTTGTTTGTTGTCATGCTACTTCAGAAGGTTTCCAAACATTAACAGCACGTTTTTCCATTGGTGGATAATGTTTGTGTGTGTTTCAGTCGGAGAATGTGCGTTGGGCCCACTCTGTAGCTGGGTACCATGAGCAGGAGGAGACTCAGTGTGGAGACATTCTGCTGACTGCAGCCTTCATCTCCTACGCTGGATCCTTCTCTAAGAAGTACCGCAGAGAACTCCTGGAGAACCTCTGGATGCCCTTCCTACGTGGCCAGAAGGTCCTTCTCTCCTCTCATCTCTTCTCTCTCTCTTATGCTCCCCCTCTCCTATTCCCTTCCCTCTCAGATTCCCATCCCAATGACAGAGGGGTTAAATCCAGTGTGTATGCTAGCAGACCTCTCCTCCTCTCGTCTCCTCCCTCTCTCAGATTCCCATCCCAATGACAGAGGGGTTAGATCCAGTGTGTATGCTGACTGATGATGCTACCGTGGCTCAGTGGAACAACGAGGGGTTGCCGGGAGACAAGATGTCCACTCAGAACGCCACCATCCTCACCAACTGTGAGCGTAGAGAACGTTTTACACTATCTACACCTTTATGTCCATGCTACAGATGTAAGATCTTAACTTGATCACCCTGATGCAGGTGAACTTTCCTGCAATTTGAGATTTAAAAGGGCTTCTATAGTTGGTAATTTCCACTTTGAAATTTCAGACTGGATTTTCCCTTACATAAATGTCCATTAATTATAAACCTCATAATAATTCACATTTCCTGTTGCAACAGGATTATTATCCTGCTGTAGCAAACTGGCTCAAATTAAGATCCTACATCTGTAAACGTATAGCAATTGCCACATTAGCTCATCAATGTTTGTTCCTTCTTTGTGTGCTCCCAGGTGAACGCTGGCCACTGCTCATTGACCCCCAACTGCAGGGCATCAAGTGGATCAAGATTCGCTATGGCAACAGCCTCAAGGTTGTCAGCCTGGGAGAGAAAGGGTGAGATCGCACTCCTCTCCTCTGTCATCCCTCCATCCTACTCTCCCCTCTCCTGAATGGCTCACCCAAACAGACTTATCTGTTAAGCTTGCTCTCTCAGTAGGTACAGTGGGGGAAAAAAGTATTTAGTCAGCCACCAATTGTGCACGTTCTCTCACTTAAAAAGATGAGAGAGGCCTGTAATTTTCATCATAGGTACACGTCAACTATGACAGACAAAATGAGAAAAAAAATGCCAGAAAATCACATTGTAGGATTTTTTATGAATTTATTTGCAAATTATGGTGGAAAATAAGTATTTGGTCAATAACAAAAGTTTCTCAATACTTTGTTATATACCCTTTGTTGGCAATGACACAGGTCAAACGTTTTCTGTAAGTCTTCACAAGGTTTTCACACACTGTTGCTGGTATTTTGGCCCATTCCTCCATGCAGATCTCCTCTAGAGCAGTGATGTTTTGGGGCTGTCGCTGGGCAACTGTCAGGTGTTGCTGTAGATTGGTGTGGTGTGGAATCAGGCGCAGGACGCAGAAGTTAAGTCCAACAAAGACTTTTAGTAGAGCACACAAAAATACAATCCAAACAGCCCGGAGGCGAGAAAAGCGCACACAGGCGTAAACAAACGAGCGCACAAAACATGTGCGAAAATCCTCTCCTAAAATAAACAAGGAGGAAAGCTACAAATAGCGCACCGAAACGGGTAGCGCAACAACACGACAACGGGAACAATTACACACAACACCTAAACTCACAACAAGGAACTAAATAGGGTGCTTAATGAGACATAACACAAAACAGGTGTGACAAACAGACAAAACCAATCAAAGATGAAACATAGAACGGTGGCAGCTAGTACTCCGGAGACGACGACCGCCGAAACCTGCCCGAACAAGGAGGAGGGGCCGCCTCGGCCGAAACCGTGACAGTACCCCCCCCCTTGACGCGCGGCTCCAGCCGTGCGCCGCCCCCGGCCTCGGGGACGACCAGGAGGACGCGGAGCAGGGCGCGTAGGATGACCACGATGGAATTCGGTCAGAAGGGACGGGTCCAGAATGTCCCTCCTCGGCACCCAGCACCGCTCCTCCGGGCCGTACCCCTCCCACTCCACGAGATATTGGAGACCCCCCATCCGGCGTCTCGAATCCAGGATGGTCCGAACAGTGTACGCCGGAGCCCCCTCGATGTCCAACGGGGGCGGAGGAGTCTCTTCTATCTCAAAGTCCTGGAGTGGACCAGCTACCACCGGCCTGAGGAGAGACACATGGAACGAGGGGTTAATATTCTTGTAATCAATGGGCAGTTGTAACCGGTAACACACCTCGTTCAATCTCCTCAGGACTTTAAAAGGCCCCACAAACCGCCAACCCAGCTTCCGGCAGGGCAGGCGGAGGGGCAGGTTTCTGGTTGAGAGCCAGACTCGATCTCCAGGTGCGTACACTGGCCCCTCACTGCGGTGGAGGTCGGCGCTCGTCTTCTGTCGACGGATGGCTCGCTGCAGATGGACGTGTGCAGCGTTCCACGTCTCCTCCGAGCGCCGCACCCACTCATCCACAGCAGGGGCCTCGATCTGGCTCTCATGCCAAGGTGCCAGAACCGGCTGGTACCCTAACACACACTGGAAAGGGGTTAGTTTAGTGGAGGAGTGGCGGAGAGAGTTCTGTGCCATCTCGGCCCAGGGCACATATCTCGCCCACTCCTCCGGCCGGCCCTGACAATATGACCTCAGAAACCTACCCACATCCTGGTTGACTCGTTCGACCTGCCCATTACTCTCCGGGTGGTAACCCGAGGTAAGACTCACCGAAACCCCCAACCGTTCCATAAAGGCTCTCCAGACTCTGGAGGTAAACTGGGGGCCTCGATCAGACACTATATCCTCGGGTACCCCGTAATGCCGGAAGACGTGAGTAAATAGAGCCTCAGCGGTCTGTAGGGCAGTAGGAAGACCCGGCATGGGAAGGAGACGACAGGCCTTCGAGAACCGATCCACAACGACCAGGATGGTGGTATTCCCTTGTGAGGAGGGAAGGTCGGTAACAAAATCCACCGAGAGGTGAGACCAGGGTCGTTGTGGAACGGGCAGGGGTTGTAATTTACCCCTGGGCAAGTGTCTGGGCGCCTTACACTGGGCACACACTGAGCAGGAGGAGACATAAATCCTCACATCCCTGGCTAACGTTGGCCACCAGTACTTTGTACTAAGGCAGTGCACTGTCCGGCCAATACCTGGATGTCCAGAGGAGGGTGACGTGTGAGCCCAATAAATCAGCCGATCCCGGACCTCGAGCGGGACGTACGTCCGACCCACCGGACACTGTGGAGGGCTAGGGTCGGTGCGTAATGCCCGCTCGATCTCCGCATCGACCTCCCATACCACCGGTGCAACCAGACAAGACTCCGGTAGTATGGGAGTGGGTTCCACGCACCTCTCCTCCGTGTCATACCGCCGAGACAGGGCATCTGCCTTCCCGTTCTGGGACCCAGGGATGTAAGTGATCTTGAACACAAACCGGGCGAGAAACATAGTCCATCGAGCCTGGCGAGGATTCAGTCTCCTAGCTGCCCGAATGTATTCCAGGTTACGGTGGTCAGTCAGAATGAGGAAAGGGTGTTGAGCCCCCTCAAGCCAATGCCTCCACACCTTTAGGGCCTGTACTACGGCTAACAGCTCCCTGTCCCCTACGTCATAATTCCGCTCCGCCGGACTGAGCTTCTTAGAATAAAAAGCACAGGGGCGGAGTTTAGGTGGTGTGCCGGACCGTTGTGAAAGAACTGCCCCGATACCGGCCTCAGACGCGTCTACCTCTACTTGGAAGGGTAAAGTGGGATCCGGGTGCGCCAGCACTGGAGCCGAGGTAAACAGGTCCTTCAGTCTCCCAAAAGCCCTGTCCGCCTCAGCCGACCACCGCAAGCGCACAGGACCCCCCTTCAGAAGAGACGTTATGGGAGCTGCCACCTGTCCAAAACCCCGGATAAACCTCCGGTAGTAATTTGCAAAACCCAAGAACCGCTGCACCTCTTTAACCGTAGTTGGGGTTTGCCAATTACGCACGGCAGACACACGGTCAACCTCTATTCTCACCCCTGACGCAGACAACTGATAACCCAAAAAGGAGACTGACTCCTGAAAGAACAGACATTTCTCGGCTTTGACATACAGGTCATGCTCCAACAATCTCCTCAATACCCTGCGCACCAGGGCTACATGCTCGGCCCGAGTAGAACTGTATACTAGAATATCATCTATGTACACCACTACTCCCTGCGCCTGCATGTCCCGGAAAATCTCATCTACAAAAGATTGGAAGACTGATGGAGCATTCATTAAACCATATGGCATGACGAGATACTCGTAATGGCCGGAGGTAGTACTAAATGCTGTCTTCCACTCATCGCCCTCCCTAATGCGCACCAAGTTATATGCGCTCCTGAGGTCCAATTTTGTGAAGAACCGTGCCCCGTGTAAGGACTCCGTCATGGTCGCAATCAGCGGGAGTGGATAACTATATTTCACAGTCACCTGATTGAGACCGCGGTAATCAATACACGGACGCAAACCTCCATCCTTTTTCTTCACAAAAAAGAAGCTCGAGGACGCGGGAGAAGTGGAGGGCCGTATGTATCCCTGTCTCAGAGACTCGGCAATGTATGTCTCCATTGCCCCTTTCTCCTCCTGTGACAAAGGATACACATGTGTCACGATCGTCGTTACAGGAAGCGGACCAAGGCGCAGCGTGTGATACAAACATGACTTTATATTAATTAACGAACAAACCAAAACACGACTCGTGAAGTCCAACGGTTAAACATACCGAAACGGAACAAAAACCCACAACACCCACAGGAAAACATACAGATTAAATATGGCTCCCAATCAGAGATAACGAGCCGACAGCTGACACTCGTTACCTCCGATTGGGAGTCATTGACCAAACATAGAAATAAACCCAACAGAAATACAAACATAGAAATACACCCAACGAATGAACACACCCTGGCTCAAATTACAGAGTCCCGGAGCCAGAGCGTGACAGTACCCCCCCCCTAAAGGCGCGGACTGCGACCGCGCCTCAATACGGGCTAAACAAGGGAGGGCTGGGTGGGCATACCTCCTCGGCGGTGGCTCTGGCTCTGGCCTTGATCCCCACCTCCTCTCCCACCCCCCAAAGTACCCCTGGTCCTGTCTAGCCCCGCTGGCCGGAGCCGGACTGACGACACGCGCCCCTGGCTTGGTGCGTGGAGGACGAACGGGCCTTACCAGGCTGACGACGCGCACCACTGCCTTGGCGCGGGGAGCAGGAATGGGCCGGACCGGGCTGACGAAGCGCACCCCTGACTTGGTGCGGAGAGCGGAACCGGGCCGGACAGGGCTGACGAAACGCACCACAGACTTGGTGCGGGGAGCAGGACTGGGCCGGACAGGGCTGACGAAGCGCACCACAGACCTGGTGCGGGGAGCAGGAACGGGCAGAGCCGGGCTGACGAGACGCACCACAGACTTGATGCGGGGAGCAGGGACAGGCCGGGCTGAACTGGCGACGCGCACCACAGACCTGGTGCGGAGAGCAGGAACGGGCAGAGCCGGGCTGACGAGACGCACCACAGACTTGATGCGGGGAGCAGGAATGGGCCGGACTGGACTGACGACGCACACCACTGGCTTGGTGCGGGAAGCTTGGATGGGCCGGACTGTACTGGGGACACACACCACTGGCCCTACACCGGGATCTGGAACGGGCCGGACCGGACTGGCAACACACGCCAGTACCTCTCGCCGTGCCTCTACTTCCTCCATCCCCTCTTTGACCAGTGGCCCCCGTAACCCGGCGGCCTTCTCCGGCAACCCACTGGACCGCTCTATCGTGGCCTCCTGCTGGTCCGCCGTCGTGAGCCCCCCCCTAAAAATTTTCGGGGCGTCTCTCCTACCCGTGGCCCAGGTCTCCATGTCCCTCGCCAGCTTCTCGCCCTTCTGCCATAATGTCAAGCCCCTCTCTTCCTCACTCGGCTTGACCCAGTCCAGGAGGCGAAGGAGATCTGTGAGGGATCTCCCCGGCGATGGCTCCTGGACACGCTGCTTGGTCCCATCTTGGTGGGTTTTTCTGTCACGATCGTCATTACAGGAAGCGGACCAAGGCGCAGCGTGTGATACAAACATGACTTTATATTAATTAACGAACAAACCAAAACACGACTCGTGAAGTCCAACGGTTAAACATACCGAAACGGAACAAAAACCCACAACACCCACAGGAAAACATACATAGAAATACACCCAACGAATGAACACACCCTGGCTCAAATTACAGAGTCCCGGAGCCAGAGCGTGACAACATGGCTCCGCGGGAGCGCAGCTCCTGCCTGGAGGTCTATCGCACAATCCCACTGTCTATGAGGCGGCAACCGTGCCGCTCTAGTCTTACTAAACACGAGTGCCAAATCCTCATACTCAGGCGGAATGTGCAGTGCTGGCATCTGGTTCGGACTTTCCACCGAAGTCGCCCCTACGGAAACACCCAGACATAGCCCCTCACACTGAGCAGACCACCCTTTAAGAGCCTTCTCTCGCCACGAAATCGTAGGATCATGGGTAATCAACCAGGGAAGCCCCAGTACCACCGGATACGCAGGAGAGTCGATCAGATAGAGTTGAATCGTCTCCTCATGACCCCCCTGCGTCTTCATCCTAAGTGGCGCCGTGACATCCCTAATCAACCCAGATCCCAACGGACGACTATCTAGGGCATGTACAGGGAAAGGCTTATCAACTGGAAGGAGGGGAATCCCTAACTCAACACAGAATTTACGATCTACAAAATTCCCAGCTGCGCCTGAATCGACTAGCGCCTTATGCTGGGAACGAGGTGCAACCTGTGGAAAACAAACAGGTATAGTTATGTGTACGACAGAAAGCTCTGGGTAAGTAGGGCGCCTACTCCCCAATGTGTGACCTGCCGTTTCCCTCACCAGGGGACCCTCCCCAGCACCTAGCCGCGGTGTGCCCTCCGCGGCCACAGTTGGTGCAGGAGACCACCCCCCTCGGGCTCCTTCTTCTCCCCCCTCTAGCGCCAGCACCTCCGAGCTCCATCGGGCTCGGCTCGGAGGCGCTGGAGGGTGGAATGGGCGACCCCCACCTGGGACGTCCGCGGGTCGCGAGCAGGGTGTCCAGCCGAATGGCCATGTCCACCAACTGGTCAAATGATAGTGTAGTATCCCTGCACGCTAACTCTCTGCGGACGTCCTCCCGAAGGCTGCATCTAAAGTGGTCTATGAGGGCCCGCTCATTCCACCCTGCATCTGCCGCTAGAGTCCGGAACTCCAGCGCAAACTCTTGAGCGCTCCTCATCCCCTGCCGGAGGTAGAATAGACGCTCCCCCCGCCGCCTTCCCTTCTGGTGGATGGTCGAAGACCGCACGGAAGCGGCGGGAGAACTCCGCATAGGTGACAGTGGCGGCGTCTATTCTCCTCCATTCGGCGTTGGCCCACTCCAACGCCTTGCCGGTGAGACAGGAGATGAGGGCGGAAACGCTCTCGTGTCCCGAGGGCGCCGGGTGTACGGTGGCAAGGTAGAGTTCCACCTGTAACAGGAACCCCTGACACCCGGCAGCGGTGCCGTCGTACGCCCTCGGGAGCGAGAGCCGAATCCCACTGGGTTCCGGTTGTTGGACGGGCGGGCTGACCGATGGTGATGGTGCGGTAGGTGGAGGTGTGGGTACCTCGCTGGTCTCCCATCGATGGAGAATGTTCATCACCCGGTCCAGGGCGTGCCCGATCTGGTTAATCCGATCGTCTTGACCACGGAGACGCTCCTCCATGATGTCGGTGGGTGCTCCTGCTGATTCCATGCGATGGTGTGTAATTCTGTCAGGTGTTGCTGTAGATTGGTGTGGTGTGGAATCAGGCGCAGGACGCAGAAGTTAAGTCCAACAAAGACTTTTAGTAGAGCACACAAAAATACAATCCAAACAGCCCGGAGGCGAGAAAAGCGCACACAGGCGTAAACAAACGAGCGCACAAAACATGTGCGAAAATCCTCTCCTAAAATAAACAAGGAGGAAAGCTACAAATAGCGCACCGAAACGGGTAGCGCAACAACACGACAACGGGAACAATTACACACAACACCTAAACTCACAACAAGGAACTAAATAGGGTGCTTAATGAGACATAACACAAAACAGGTGTGACAAACAGACAAAACCAATCAAACATGAAACATAGAACGGTGGCAGCTAGTACTCCGGAGACGACGACCGCCGAAACCTGCCCGAACAAGGAGGAGGGGCCGCCTCGGCCGAAACCGTGACAGCAACACGGACTTTCAACTCCCTCCAAAGATTTTCTATGGGGTTGAGATCTGGAGACTGGCTAGGCCACTCCAGGACCTTGAAATACTTATTACGAAGCCACTCCTTCGTTGCCCGGGCGGTGTGTTTGGGATCATTGTCATGCTGAAAGACCCAGCCACGTTTCATCTTCAATGCCCTTGCTGATGGAAGGAGGTTTTCACTCAAAATCTCAAGATACATGGCCCCATTCATTCTTTCCTTTACACGGATCAGTCGTCCTGGTCCCTTTGCAGAAAAACAGCCCCAAAGCATGATGTTTCCACCCCCATGCTTCACAGTAGGTATGGTGTTCTTTGGATGCAACTCAGCATTCTTTGTCCTCCAAACACGACGAGTTGAGTTTTTACCAAAAAGTTCTATTTTGGTTTCATCTGACCATGTGACATTCTCCCAATCCTCTTCTGGATCATCCAAATGCACTCTAGCAAACTTCAGACGGGCCTGGACATGTACTGGCTTAAGCAGGGGGACACGTCTGGCACTGCAGGATTTGAGTCCCTGGCGGCGTAGTGTGTTACTAATGGTAGGCTTTGTTACTTTGGTCCCAGCTCTCTGCAGGTCATTCACTAGGTCCCCCCGTGTGGTTCTGGGATTCTTGTGATCATTTTGACCCCACGGGGTGAGATCTTGCGTGGAGCCCCAGATCGAGGGAGATTATCAGTGGTCTTGTATGTCTTCCATTTCCTAATAATTGCTCCCACAGTTGATTTCTTCAAACCAAGCTGCTTACCTATTGCAGATTCAGTCTTGCCAGCCTGGTGCAGGTCTACAATTTTGTTTCTGGTGTCCTTTGACAGCTCTTTGGTCTTGGCCATAGTGGAGTTTGGAGTGTGACTGTTTGAGGTTGTGGACAGGTGTCTTTTATACTGATAACAAGTTCAAACAGGTGCCATTAATACAGGTAACTAGTGGAGGACAGAGGAGCCTCTTAAAGAAGAAGTTACAGGTCTGTGAGAGCCAGAAATCTTGCTTTTTTGTAGGTGACTGTCACGATCGTCAGGGTAAGGAGTAGACCAAGGCGCAGCGTTGCAGGCAAACATACTCGTTTATTAGCGAAACGTGATGAAAACAACAAAAGACGGTAACGTGACAGTACACGGTAAAACACAACCAACTTGAAACAAGAACCCACAAAACAAAAAGGAAACCCGACAGTTTAAATATGGCTCCCAATCAGAGACAACCAGCAAACAGCTGACACTCGTTGCCTCTGATTGGGAGTCACTCAGGCCAACATAGAAAAACACAACCTAGAACACCCAACATAGAAACAGAACACATAGAATAAACACACCCTGGCTCAACAAATAGAGTCCCAGAGCCAGGGTGTGACAGTGACCAAATACTTATTTTCCACCATAATTTGCAAATAAATTCATTAAAAATCCTACAATGTGATTTTCTGGAAAACAACTGCTCAATTTTTCTGTCATAGTTGACGTGTACCTATGATGAAAATTACAGGCCTCTCTCATCTTTTTAAGTGGGAGAACTTGCACAATTGGTGGCTGACTAAATACTTTTTTTCCCCACTGTATGTAGGTATGTTTGATGTGTTCTACCTAAGGCCCATTTTCCCAGGTATGTGGATGTGATAGAGCAGGCAGTGGTGACAGGAGACACTGTTCTCATAGAGAATCTGGAGGAGACCATCGACCCTGTCATAGACCCTCTACTGGGACGACACACCATCAAGAAGGGCAGGTAACATATACTCACACTCACACACACACACACACACACACACACACACACACACACACACACACACACACACACACTCACACACACACACGCACACACACACACACACACACACCACATCATCAAAAAGGGCTGGTAATACACACTCCTCCTCTCACCCTCTCCCTCTCTCTCCACCAGTTGTATAAAGGTGGGGGATAAAGAGTGTTTCTTCCACCCAGCGTTCAGACTGATCCTCCACACTAAGCTGGCTAACCCCCACTATAAGCCTGAGATCCAGGCACAGACCACCCTCATCAACTTCACTGTTACAAGAGACGGCCTGGAGGACCAGCTGCTGGCCCAGGTGGTCAATCTGGAGAGGCCCGATCTCGAGCACCTCAAGGTGGGATAGATGGCTATGTCCCCTGTCCTTTCTGGCACTCTCAGCCTCTTCCTTCTTGACCTCATATGGTTACAACGTGTTCACAAAATGACACTTGAAGTTTGGTTGTGGTTGGTTTCTGCATAGTTGTGATCCTGTATGGCTCAGTTGGTAGAGCAGGGTGCTTATAACACCAGGGTTGTGGGTTTGAATCCTGGGGCCACCCACATGTAAAATGTAGGCATGAAATGATGGTAAGTTGCTTTGGATAAAAGTGTCTGCTAAATGATTTATATTATTAAAGTTTGTTTATAATGGTTGTAGTTATGTTGGGGTTGTGTTGTGGTTGTATAATGGTTGCAGAGTGACCTGACCAAGCAGCAGAACCTGTTTAAGATCGAGCTGAAGCTGTTGGAGGATGAACTGCTGGGGCGTCTCTCTGCTGCTGAGAGCAACTTCCTAGGAGACAACGTCCTGGTGGAGAAACTAGAGACCACCAAACACACGGCCGCAGAGATCGAGATGAAGGTGAGAGAGAGAGAGAGAGAGAGAGAGAGAGAGAGAGAGAGAGAGAGAGAGAGAGAGAGAGAGAGAGAGAGAGAGAGAGAGAGAGAGAGAGACTCACAGATAGTTTCTTCCTGATGGCTTCTAGTTTGTCTGCAGCCTCAGCCAGGTCAGCATTACAGAGAGAGAGAGAGAGAGAAATGAGACAGATAAATAGCTAAACTGTGCTGATCGATAATATGCTGTTTTGGGATGTAGGTTCTGGAGGCGAAGGTGAACGAGGTGAAGATCAACGAGGCTAGAGAACACTACCGCCCCGTAGCGGTCAGATCCTCTCTGCTCTACTTCATCATGAATGACCTCAACAAGATCAACCCCATGTACCAGTTCAGCCTCAAGGTTACCAACAGCACTTTGTATTTCATTTAACCTTTATTTATACAGGTAATTCGAGACCTGTCCGAATGGACCAGTACAGACCAGATAACAAATAGATTATAGCTTTCTTGCTGATCTAGGCTTATCTTTCTCTTTTACTGTCTCCCTCTAACTCCCTCCCTGTAGGCGTTTAACGTGGTGTTCCACAAGGCGGTGGAGCAGGCAGAGGTGTGTGAGGACGTGAGGAGCAGAGTTAACACTCTAATAGACGACATCACCTACTCCACCTTCAACTACATCAGCAGAGGCCTGTTTGAGAGAGACAAACTCACCTTCACTGCTCAACTCGCCTTCCAGGTGTGTGTGTGTGTGGGGGAGAGGGGGCTGTGTGTGTGTCTGTGTGTTTTCCTAGTTCTAACAGTGTGTTCCCTGTTCTCCAGTTGTTGCTGATGAGTAAGGAGATAGATGTACGAGAACTAGATTTCCTACTCCGCTTCAACATCGACCACAGCTACATCTGTCCTGTAGATTTCCTCTCCAACCAGGCCTGGAGTGCCATAAAGGTACACACACACACACACACACACACACACACACACACACACACACTCTCACTCTCACACTCATACTCAAACACACAAACATGCATTTCCCCTCTTCTCCTCTAGACAATGAGTTTCACTGATGAGTTTCGTGGTTTGGACCGGGACATCGAGGGCTCCCCTAAACGCTGGAAAAAGGTGGTAGAGTCCGAGTGTCCGGAGAAAGAGAAGTTTCCTCAAGAGTGGAAAACAAAAAGTTCCCTACAGAAACTCATCATGATGAGAGCCCTGAGGCCTGATAGGATGACTTACGCTGTCAGGTGACCGCACTCTAACAATACCCACCACCTCCCAACACACACAGGATAGTTGAAGGCACATAATGTACCTTATCTCCCCTCCTGTCCTTTTTACTCCTTACTGCCGCCTTCTCTCCTCTTCTCTCCCTCTCCTCTTCTCTCCTCTTCTCTCCCTCTCCTCTTCTCTCCTCTTCTCTCCCTCTTCTCTCCTTCTCCTCTTCTCTCCTCTTCTCTCCCTCTTCTCTCCTTCTCCTCTTCTCTCCTCTTCTCTCCCTCTCCTCTTCTCTCCCTCTCCTCTTCTCTCCCTCTCCTCTTCTCTCCTCTTCTCTCCCTCTTCTCTCCTTCTCCTCTTCTCTCATCTTCTCTCCCTCTCCTCTTCTCTCCTCTTCTCTCCCTCTCCTCTTCTCTCCCTCCATCCCCATCTTTTATATGTCTCTGGCAAATTATAATGACGATCAATCTCCCTCCACATACCCTCCCCTCGCTCTCGCGCACTCTCTTTCTGTCTGTAGGAACTTTGTGGAGGAGAAGTTGGGGGTGAAGTATACAGAGGGGAGGAAGACAGAGTTTGCTAAGTCCTTCAGAGAGAGTGGACCTGCCTCGCCTGTATTCTTCATCCTGTCTCCTGGAGTAGACCCTCTCAAAGACGTGGAGTCACTGGGTAACACTAAGACAACTAATTTTGTAATGTAAAGATCACTGTAAATCTGCATGAATATGACACACACACACACACTGAGAAAATATTGTTTCCATGGTAACAGGCAGGAAGTTGGGGTTCACCATAGACCTGGGGAAACTCCACAATGTGTCTTTGGGTCAGGGTCAGGAGGCTGTGGCTGAGGTCGCCATGGAGATGGCTGCTAAGGAGGGACACTGGGTCATTTTACAGGTATGGCTATCCTGCTATATACTGTACATAAAACATAATACATTCATTCATCATTGCATCCATCCATCCTTCCATCCATTCATTGTTTCATTAATCAATTTATTAGTTTGTTCGCGCTTACATTTGTTCATCCATCCATCCATTCATCCATTCATCCATTCATTCATTCATTCATTCATTCATTCATTCATTCATCTCTGTCAGAATATCCACCTGGTGGCTCGCTGGCTGGGGTCGTTGGAGAAGCTTCTGGAACGCTGCTGTGAGGGCAGTCACCAGGACTACAGAGTGTTTATGAGTGCTGAGCCTGCCCCCACACCACAGGAGCACATCATCCCTCAGGTACACACACACACACACATACACACACATACATTTATAATAACACGGTGTGTTTTCCTAATTTAAAAGTGTGTTTGTTCTCCTCTCCTCACTCAGGGCATCCTGGAGAATGCCATCAAGATCACCAACGAGCCTCCCACTGGCATGCATGCCAACCTTCATGCTGCTCTGGACAACTTCGACCAGGTACAGGAATGTGTGTATTAATGTCTGTCTGTCCACTGGTGTTAGGGATGGGCAATTGAAATTATTGTTCAAAATAATCTCATCAAATGTTTGATTCACACTTTATAATAATGTCCAGTAATAGATCATTTATAAGGCTATTATAAACAGTTCTCACTATTTACTAATTGCTGTTTCTACATTTGCAAATGTTAGTAAGCTATACATAGTTATTTATAAACTTTCAAATGAATTATTGGATAATTTATTAGATGTTTAATATAGACCCTTATAAAACATTTACTAATCATTAGTAAAGTACAGTGGTGTAAAGTAACTAAGTAAAAATACTTTGAAGTACTACTTTGAGGTATCTGTACTTTACTTGAGTTTTTATATTTTTTACAACTTTTACTTCTACTTGACTACATTCTGAAATAAATGATGTGCTCGTTACATTTCTAATGCTCAGGCAGGACAGCAAAACGGTCAAATTCATGTACTTATTAAGAAAAATGCATCCCTACTGCCTCTGATCTGGTTTGTAAAAGATTGTTGAACTGTGTCCCTGGATTCCCATAAATAAATAAAAAATAAAGGCAATTAGTCCTAATATGGGAATTTGCATATATAGCCTTTTGCTTTCTCACTTTTGATACTTAAGTACAATATAAAACCAATACTTTAGGAACTTTTTAGTGAAGTTTTTTACGCTGAGTGACTTTCATCCTTTTACTTGAGGTCTTTTCCTTTACTTTTACTCATTTTACAGGTAAGCAGCACGGCTTGGCAGCTCATGCAAGGTGTCCACCTCAGAGAGACCGCCTCGCGGCACGCAATGTAGAGGAAGACCACCATGGGCCGGTTATGCGGCTCTGGTTCGATAGCAGTTGTCCGCAGATAACGGTCACCACCCGCAGCCACAGCTTCCGGTCCGGAAGACATGTCCTGGATCAGGTAGGCAGCGCCGGCACACGGAACTCCACCCAGGCAGCGCATCACTCGCCGTTTGTAGCATGAACCATCACCATCCTCTTGGGCGTGTCGCGGTCCTGGACGATCACCGTCTGGGGCGTGTCGGGGCCGTGTTTGGAGTTGGTCAAGGGGGCCTTCTCGACCGACGAGGCGGCGTTGTTGGAGCTGTTGGCGATGGCTGGAGTGCTCTGGTACTGGGTGGACAGCTTGTCACAGGATTGAGACTTCTCCAGGGTGAGGGTGGACAAGTTGGAGGAGGACTGAGACTTCTCCAGGTTCTCGTTACTCAGATGGGCGATGTTGTTTTGGTTGGTGTTCTCGTGGGCCTGCACCTTCTTGGAGCCCTTCTTCTTCACAATCCACCTCCATGGCGAGTAGCGCTTCAGGGTCTTGTCTTTGCCGCTCTTACGGGTCTGGACTTCAAAGAAGTGGCCCACCGTGTCCGGCCCATCTTTGAAGTGGACTGCCTTCTCGCGGAGTGAGATAGACATTGCGGATCCCATGGTCAATAGTGCCTGTGGAAAACAAAATGCTTCAATATTAGCAAAATGAAATGCATGGCATCAGTTCAGTAGGCCTATCTAGCTCAGCTCTGGGTGTCTCCCAGATGGCAACCTATTCCCTATATAGTGCACTGCTTTTTACCAAGGCCTATAGGAGTCTGGTCAAAGTAGTGCAATATATAGGAAATAGGGTTCCATGTGGGACATAATCTAAATCAAAGAGTATTAAGCATAGACATTAGGGTTATGTGTTCATAAACATGAGCAATATAACATTTCAAAGCAAAACAAAAATATTACTCACTGATTTCAAGTTGATATGTGAAAAATTGTAAAGATAATTCAATATTTTCTTCGTTAATTGAAAGGTAAAGACGGGTTGTCCAGGTGCTTTGAGTTCAAGGCTGTTATGGTTGTGAACATCGGAATTGTCCAAGGTTCTGAAATCGAGCGTTCTGAAATTGTGTGTCCCCGTCGTAATAAAGAGGCATGTCATAGAGGCGATTTTGTGAAAGATTAAGTTTGATGTTGGCAAAAATAAATAAATAACACAAATAAATAAAGTCAGATTTTCGCCATGATAGAATTTGCCTCATATTTGCTATAGCCTAGCTCAATACGTTGAAAACGAAATAATCTTTGAGTGACTGCTACGCTACAGCGTTATATTTCTGGCCTCAATGGATGAATAACATGTATCTGCGAGTGTTTTGCATGGATCTCAATGGTCTGTCAAATTAAATTGGCACCTCTGTCAGGTGCGCGCTTATCTCGTTCACCACCAGACTCTTCTTCCCCCTAAAGGGTGCGTTAGTCATTTCACTTTAGCAATCTACTCCGATAATGAGCATTTAGCCTAGGGACAAATAGGTGCTCGCCTATAATCGCTATTTGAAGTGGGGAGCATACAGGCCTACTTCTATGTCAGGACTGACTGAAGGACTAGCTTAAAATGCGTTATAGAAGTAGGCTAAATAGCCTTTTCGTGTAAAACGCAACATAAGAACCAGCAGTAGCTCAAATAAAAACGTCTAAAACTACACTCCAAAGTTATAAAAAAAGATATACCGTACCAGTTAAAGGTTTGGACACACCTACTCATTCAAGGGTTTTTCTACATTGTAGAATAATAGTGAAGACATCAAAACTATGAAATAACACATATGGAATCATGTAGTAACCAAAAAAGTATTAAACACATAAAAATATATTTTATATTTGAGATTCTTCAAACACCGCTCTTGCTGCTGGTGATTCTCAGATCCACCTCTAGGCAGACGACACCATTTTGTATACATCTGGCCCTTCATTGGACACTGTGTTAACAAACCTCCAAACGAGCTTCAATGCCATACAACACAACTTCCGTAGCCTCCAACTGCTCTTAAACACAAGTAAAATGAAATGCATGCTCTTCACCCGCCCAAAGTCCCATATACTACCCACCACTGCGACCTGTATGCTCTTGTTGGCTGGTCCACACTACATATTCGTTGCCAAACCCACTGGCTCCAGGCCATCTATAAATCACTTCTAGGCAAATCCCCTCCTTATCTTAGCTTATCCTAATCTCTGAAGCTGGAGACACTTATCTAACTTCAAGCATCAGTTGTCAGACCACCTTACTGATCACTGCACCTGTACACAGCCCATCTGAAATTAGCCCACCCAACTACCTCATCCCCATATTGTTATTTATTTTGCTAATTTACACCCCAGTATCTCTATTTGCACATTATCTCTTGTACATCTATCATTCCAGTGTTAATACTAATTGTAATTATTTTGCACTATGGCCTATTTATTGCCTTACCTCCATAACTTTCTACATTTGCACACACTGTATATATTTTCTGTAGTATTTTTGACTTTATGTTTTGTTTTACCCCATATGTAACTCTGTGTTGTTGTTTTTATTGCACTGCTTTGCTTTATCTTGGCCAGGTGGCAGTTGTAAATGAGAACTTGTTCTCAACTGGCTTACCTGGTTAAATAAAGGTGAAATTAAAAAATTAAAAAATCAGTTGCCTTGATGACAGCTTTGCACACTACTGGCTTCACCTAGAATGCTTTTCCAACAGTCTTGAAGGAGTTCCCACATATGCTGAGCACCTGTTGGCTGCTTTTCCTTCACTCTGTGGTCCGACTCATCCCAAACCATCTCAATTGGGTTGAGGTCGGGGGATTGTGGAGGCAAGGTCATCTGATGCAGCACTCTCATTCGTGGTAAAATAGTCCTTCCACAGGCTGGAGGTGTGTTGGTTCATTGTCCTGTTGAAAAACAAATTATAGTTCCACTAAGCCCAAACCAGATGGGATGGTGTATCGCTGCAGAATGTTGCGGTAGCCATGCTGGTTAAGTGTGCCTTGAATTCTAAATAAATCACAGACAGTGTCACCAGCAAAGCACCCCCACACCATAACACCTCCTCCTACATGCTTTACGGTGGGAAATACACATGCAGAGATCATCCGTTCACCCACACCACGTCTCATAAAGACACGGCAGTTGGAACCATACATCTCCAATTTGGACTCCAGACCAAAGGACAAATTTCCATCGGTCTAATGTCCACTGCTCGTGTTTCTTTGCCCAAGCAAGTCTCTTCTAATTATTGGTGTCCTTTAGTAGTGGTTTTCCTTTGCAGCAAATCGACCACGAAGGCCTGATTCACACAGTCTCCTCTGAACAGTTGATGTTGAGATGTGTCTGCATTTATTTGGTCTGCAATTTCTGAGGCTGGTAACTCTATTTAACTTATCCTCTGCAGCAGAGGTAACTCTGGGTCTTCCATTCCTGTGGCAGTCCTCATGAGAGCCAGTTTCATCATAGCACTTGATGGTTTTTGCGACTGCACTTGAAGAAACTTTCAAAGTTGTTGAAGTTTTCCGTATTGACTGACCTTCATGTCTTAAAGTAATGATGGACTGTCATTTCTCTTTGATTATTTGAGCTGTTCTTGCCATAATATGGACTTGGTCTTTTATCAAATAGGGCTATCTTCTGTATACCACCCCTACCTTGTCACAACACAACTGATTGGCTCAAACACATTAAGAAGGGAAGAAATTCCACAAATTAACTTTTAAGAAGGCACAGCTGTTAATTGAAATGCATTCCAGATGACTACCCCATGACGCTGATTGAGAGAATGCCAAGAGTGTGCAAAGCTGTCAAGGCAAAGGGTGGTTTCTTTGAAGAATCTCAAATAAACAAATCAAAATATATTTTATAACACTTTTTTGGTTACTACATGATTCCATATGTGTTATTTCATAGTTTTGATGTCTTCACTATTATTCTACAATGTAGAAAATAGTAAAAATAAAGAAAAACCCTGGAATGAGTAGGTGTGTCCAAACTTTTGACTGGAACTGTGTATATATATATATCATGGTATATCCTTGTGTGCAAGAATGTCTTAAGAATCGAAATACTTACAACAGTTGATCCAATTCTAGCCTAAGCTCGGTTTGAATATTCAAGTACCTCCCCATCCCTAACTGCTGTCCTAATACAGTTGAAGTCGGAAGTTTACATACACCTTAGCCAAATACATTTAAACTAAGTTTTTCACAATTCCTGACATTTAATCCTAGTAAGAATTCCCTGTTTTAGGTCAGTTAGGATCACCACTTTATTTTAAGAATGTCAGAATAATTGTAGAGAGAATGATTTATTTCAGCTTTTATTTCTTTCATCACATTCCCAGTGGGTCAGAAGTTTACATACACTCAATTAGTATTTGGTAGCATTGCCTTTAAATTGTTTAATTTGGGTCAAACATTTCGGGTAGCCTTCCACATGCTTCCCACAATAAGTTGGGTGAATTTTGGCCCATTCCTCCTGACAGAGCTGGTGTAACTGAGTCAGGTTTGTAGGCCTCCTTGCTCGCACACGCTTTTTCAGTTCTGCCCACACATTTTCTATAGGATTGATGTCAGGGCTTTGTGATGGCCACTCCAATACCTTGACTTTGTTGTCCTTAAGCCATTTTGCCACAACTTTGTAAGTACGCTTGGGGTCATTGTCCATTTGGAAGACTCATTTGTGACCAAACTTTAACTTCCTGACTGATGTCTTGAGATGTTGCTTCAATATATCCACATAATTTTCCTTCCTCATGATGCCATCTATTTTGTGAAGTGCACCAGTCCCTCCTGCAGCAAAGCACCCCCACAGCATGATGCTGCCACCTCCGTGCTTCACGTTTGGGATGGTGTTCTTCGGCTTGCAAGGTCCCCCTTTTTCCTCCAAACATAACGATGGTCATTATGGCCAAACAGTTCTATTTTTGTTTCATCAGACCAGAGGACATTTCTCAAAAAGTACAATCTTTGTCCCCATGTGCAGTTGCAAACCATAGTCTGGGTTTTTTATGGCGGTTTTGGAGCAGTGGCTTCTTCCTTGCTGCGCGGCCTTTAAGGTTATGTCGATATAGGACTCGTTTTACTGTGGATATAGATACTTTTGTACCTGTTTCCTCCAGCATCTTCACAAGGTCCTTTGCTGTTGTTCTGGGATTGATTTGCACTTTTCGCACCAAAGTACATTCATCTCTAGGAGACAAAACGCGTCTTCTTCCTGAGCGGTATGACAGCTGCGTGGTCCCATGGTGTTTATACTTGCGTACTATTGTTTGTACAGATGAACGTGGCACCTTTAGGCATTTGGAAATTGCTCCCAAGGATGAACCAGACTTGTGGAGGTCTATAATTTTTATTCTGAGGTCTTGGCTGATTTCCTTTGATTTTCCCACGATGTCAAGCAAAGAGGCACTGAGTTTGAAGGTAGGCCTTGAAATACATCAACAGGTACACCTCCAATTGACTCAAATGATGTCAATTAGCCTATCAGAAGCTTCTAAAGCCATGACATCATTTTCTGGAATTTTCCAAGCTGTTTAAAGGCACAGTCAACTTAGTATATGTAAACTTCTGACCCACTGGAATTGTGATACAGTGAATTATAAGTGAAATAATCTGTCTGTAAACAATTGTTGGAAAAATTACTTGTGTCATGCACATATTAGAAGTCCTAACCGACTTGCCAAAACTATAGTTTGTTAAAAGGAAATGGGAGTGGTTGAAAAACTAGTTTTAATGTCTCCAACCTAAGTGTATGTAAACTTCCGACTTCAACTGTATATTATCAATATCTCACAAACTCCTTCCACAACCACCCTCGCTCTCTCTCTCTCGCTCTCTCTCTCTCTCTGTCTATCTCTCTGTAGGACATATTGGATCAGTGCAGTAGAGAGCAGGAGTTTAAGACCATCCTGTTCTCTCTGTGTTATTTTCATGCCTGTGTGGCTGAGAGGCGTAAGTTCGGTCCTCAGGGTTGGAACAGGAAATACCCCTTTAACACTGGAGACCTCACCATCTCTGTCAACGTGCTCTACAACTACCTGGAGGCCAACTCACAGGTCACTGTTTACCGTGTTATAGTGATCAGGATGGTGATGATCATGACTGTATTGATGATTGATGATGTTTATATTGATGATGATGATGAGTCATTGTTCATGTATTTTGTGTGTGCGTGTGTGTGCTTGCGCATGTTTAGGTGCTGTGGGAGGACTTGCGCTATCTGTTTGGAGAGATCATGTATGGAGGTCACATCACAGACGACTGGGACAGAAGACTCTGTAGAACCTACCTGGAGGAATATATGCAGCCCAACCAGGTGTGTGTGTGTGTTACGATTGTGATGATAGTGTTAAAAATAAACCTACACCCTTTCCATCCTGTTTCCCACCAGTTTGACAGGAAGTTGGCTCTGGCTCCGGGCTTTGTGGTTCCCTCCAACCTGGACTACCAGGGTTACCATGGTTACGTAGATGAGATGCTGCCCCACGAGAGCCCGGTGCATTATGGACTACACCCCAACGCAGAGATAGAGTTTCTGACGGTGACCTCTGATAACCTCTTCCACACACTGCTGGAGCTGCAGTCACCTGATTCTGTGATGGGAGAGGGGGCTTCACAGACCGTAGAGGAGAAGGTGTGTGTGAGAGACACACACACACACACACACCAGGCATATTCATAACAGACACACTCATAGCAGACACACACATACAGCGGACCCACACACACTCATCCCTCATCCTCCCTGCAGGTGAAGACCATCCTAGACGAGGTGTTGGAGAAGCTTCCAGAAGAGTACAACATGTCAGACATCACGTCTAAGACTGCTGAGAGATCACCATACATCCTGGTCTGCTTCCAGGAGTGTGAACGTATGAACACGCTCATCTACGAGATACGACGCTCACTCAAGGAGCTGGACCTGGGGCTGAAGGTGGGTTAGGGGCTAGGGGTCAGCTGGGAAATTAGACTAGGACTGATAGATGACATAAGGGTGAATTGGTAGTTGTCTCTCATAACAGTGATGTTTTTTTCTCCTTCCAGGGTGAGCTGGCTATCTCCTCAGAGATGGAGCAGATCCAGTCAGCTCTGTTCTTTGATAACGTCCCAGACACCTGGACCAAACTGGCCTACCCCTCCACTTACAGCCTGGCCCAGTGGTGAGTCACTGTGTGTACTCTCCCACTGTCCCAACGTGTACTTAAGATGATGTGTTGCTATGTGTGTGTGTGTGTTTACCAGGTATAATGACGTGTTGCTGCGCTGTAGAGAGCTGGACAGCTGGACACAGGACCTGGCTCTGCCCACCGTCGTCTGGCTGTCTGGACTCTTTAACCCACAGTCCTTCTTAACAGGTAACATACACGCACATCCCCCTACACACTTACAAACAACATACCCAACCAACTTATGTTGTAACTGTCAGTTGCCTCTTGGTATTCTCTGTTCAGTGGAATTATTTGCTCAACTACCCTCTCTCCCTCCAGCGGTGATGCAGTCTCTGGCTCGTAAGAATGAGTGGCCGTTAGATAAGATGAACCTGACTGTGGATGTGACTAAGAAATTTAAGGAAGAGTTCAACCAGCCTGCCAGAGAGGGAGCATACGTATACGGACTATACATGGAAGGTATACACTCCTCTCCTTCTCATGAACACATACATCCTAGTTCATTTATCTTCATTTTTCCCTCTTTGTCCCATAGGTGCAAGATGGGACACTCAGGGTGGGGTGATCACTGAGGCTCGTCTGAAGGAGTTAACCCCCTCCATGCCAGTCATCTCAGTCCGAGCCGTACCTAACGACAGACAGGAGACGCGTAACATCTATGAGTGTCCCCTGTACAAGACCAAGCTGAGAGGAACCACTTATGTCTGGACCTTCAGCCTCAAGACCAGAGAGAGACCAGCCAAGTGGGTACTGGCTGGGGTGGCACTGCTGCTCAGTGTGTGAGCTGTCAGGGTAGGAACTCTGCTTGTGAGAGAAATGAGGTGAAGGTGGAGAAGGATGAGGGGCCTGATGCTCTACAAGACTGTTGGTTAAAAAGGGCTTTTTTGAGGTTGGAAAGAGGCAAGGTAGTTTTTTCTTTAGTTATTCGTAGGGTGTGTATTTTCTGCATTATGTTGCTAAGTGTGAGAAAAGTTATTTTATGTAAAATACGCATGTTTTACTACATATCCCTCAAGCCAGGTTTCATGCTGCTATTGAAATATAAAAGGAATTTGTATAGTACTGTTTTAGCACCTGAAAGCTATATGAAAATGTATAAAGCTATATTAAGTTTTTTCATATGAATTAGTATGAATATATCTGTATTTTTCTGAATTTATTGAAAAACAATACAGTACAAGCTGCAAAATAGTTTCACACATTTGATCACAGTAAGAACCCATTACTTCAAAGCTTATTATTTTGAACAAATCAACTGTATCGTCTAACAAGTGTACAAATCTAAAAGCAGAAAACATTGGATGGTACCCTTTACCTAGTCCTAGCATCTAAAAAGGAGTGGTGTTCAAGTGCTCTATGGTCTATGTAACACTTGTTAATATGGCACATCAGTTACATGTCACTTTAAAAGCTTCAATAGACTAGGGCCCGGTTTCCCAAAAGCATCCTAAGGCTAAGTTCATTGTTAGAACTTTATGGATGAACTTAGCCTTAGGATGCTTTTGGGAAACCGGGCCCAGAACAACATGACAGTTAGCAGGAGGAAATCCACACTGCTCATAATTCTTCACTATTATCCCCTACAGTCCTCACACACAGGGGCGTGTATACGTTTGGCTTCAATTAAAAAAGAAAATGACATAACAGAAACAAAATAGTGTTTGTGTGTTCTCCTAGTCACTGTCGTCGTCAGACCAGCCCAGGTCCATCATGTTCATGTCCAGCGTCGCGGCGGTGGCGGCCATATTGATTTTGGTTCCCTGTCGTACGCTGCAGGTCTTAGAAGAGTTCTGATTGGATGTTGTCCGCATGCTCACCTGTACCCCCGACCTCACCCCCTGACCTCTGACCCCTAACTCACTCCTGACCTTATGACTTATGACCCCAACATTAGCCATGTCACCCCTGACCCCTACCACCCCCATGTTCATATTCATATCCATGTCCCCTATCCTCTCTATCCCCCCAATATCATCCAGAGAGAGCATATCCCCAAACCCAACCATACTCCCCCCACTCAGCTCCCTAAACATTGACTGCATCCTCCCTCCCTCCACACTCCCCCCCTCCACCACCCTCTCCTCCTTCGTTACCTCCCTCCATCCCTCTTGTCTCCCAGTCTCCCCCCATCCCCTCTCCTCCCTCTCTGTCTCCCCATCTACCTCTCCAATCCCACCCTGGAACCCCTTTAGCATGATTTGTAGCCTCCCCCCTTCCCCTAGCTCCAGCCGACCCCCTTCTATCCCTCCCTCCGTCCCCCTCTCCTTCTCTCTCTCCCCCCAGGTTACCTCTATCCCTCCATCCCCATCCGCCTCCCCAAGACTGCTTGAGAAGCCCCTAATCATGGACTGGAACCCACCTATCCCCCTGTCTATCCCTCCCTCCATCCCCCTCTCCCTCTCTCCGTTGCTGAGGGTTCTGATAAGGCAGGATATCTTGGCGCTGTTGGACTCCTGAGACTGAGAACGGAAGAACGACTCCGAGCTGATGCCTGATGCTATGGGGGAGAAGAACTGAAAGAGAGAAAGAGATGGGGGGGGCAGTTGAACACAACCCAGATGTCATCATTAACCACACTATAAATGTGTTGTTACTCTAGGGATGCGGGGCTTTAAATCTCAAATAAGGTTGTAAAACAAATAGAAAATGTTTATGAATGAAGCATCATGGTCTTTGAAACCCGGCAAATATGTAGGCTACTCACAGGGGTGACATTGGACCTCTCCATCAATCTCTCCTCCCACAGTCTCAGTCTTCTCTCCCTCTCCTCTTCTCTCCCTCTCCTCTTCTCTCCCTCCATCCCCATCTTTTATATGTCTCTGGCAAATTATAATGACGATCAATCTCCCTCCACATACCCTCCCCTCGCTCTCGCGCACTCTCTTTCTGTCTGTAGGAACTTTGTGGAGGAGAAGTTGGGGGTGAAGTATACAGAGGGGAGGAAGACAGAGTTTGCTAAGTCCTTCAGAGAGAGTGGACCTGCCTCGCCTGTATTCTTCATCCTGTCTCCTGGAGTAGACCCTCTCAAAGACGTGGAGTCACTGGGTAACACTAAGACAACTAATTTTGTAATGTAAAGATCACTGTAAATCTGCATGAATATGACACATTTACATTTACATTTACGTCATTTAGCACACACACACACACTGAGAAAATATTGTTTCCATGGTAACAGGCAGGAAGTTGGGGTTCACCATAGACCTGGGGAAACTCCACAATGTGTCTTTGGGTCAGGGTCAGGAGGCTGTGGCTGAGGTCGCCATGGAGATGGCTGCTAAGGAGGGACACTGGGTCATTTTACAGGTATGGCTATCCTGCTATATACTGTACATAAAACATAATTCATTCATTCATCATTGCATCCTTACATCCATTCATTGTTTCATTAATCAATTTATTAGTTTGTTCGCGCTTACATTTGTTCATCAAATCAAATCAAATCAAATTTTATTGGTCACATGCGCCGAATACAACAGGTGCAGACATTACAGTGAAATGCTTACTTACAGCCCTTAACCAACAGTGCATTTATTTTAAACAAAAAAAGTAAGAATAAAACAACAACAAAAAAGTGTTGAGAAAAAAAGAGCAGAAGTAAAATAAGGTGACAGTAGGGAGGCTATATATACAGTAAAATAAAGTGACAGTAGGGAGGCTATATATACAGGGGGGTACCGTTGCATAGTCAATGTGCGGGGGCACCGGCTAGTTGAGGTAGTTGAGGTAATATGTACATGTGGGTAGAGTTAAAGTGACTATGCATAAATACTTAACAGAGTAGCAGCAGCGTAAAAAGGATGGGGTGGGGGGGCAGTGCAAATAGTCCGGGTAGCCATGATTAGCTGTTCAGGAGTCTTATGGCTTGGGGGTAGAAGCTGTTGAGAAGTCTTTTGGACCTAGACTTGGCACTCCGGTACCGCTTGCCGTGCGGTAGCAGAGAGAACAGTCTATGACTAGGGTGGCTGGAGTCTTTGACAATTTTGAGGGCCTTCCTCTGACACCGCCTGGTATAGAGGTCCTGGATGGCAGGGAGCTTTGCCCCAGTGATGTACTGGGCCGTACGCACTACCCTCTGTAGTGCCTTGCGGTCAGAGGCCAAGCAGTTGCCATACCAGGCGGTGATGCAACCAGTCAGGATGCTCTCGATGGTGCAGCTGTAGAATTTTTTGAGGATCTGAGGACCCATGCCAAATCTTTTTAGTCTCCTGAGGGGGAATAGGCTTTGTCGTGCCCTCTTCACGACTGTCCTTGGTTGTTTTTTGACATGAGGATGGATGGGATTGATGGAGAGGTCCATTGTCACCCCTGTGAGTAGCCCTACCTATTTGCCGGGTTTTCAAAGAACCATGATGCTTCATTCATAACATTTCTATTTGTTTTACAACCTTATTTGAGATTTAGATATTAGAAACAGTCATGTTGTATGGTGTCAAGCCCAGCATCCCTAGGTACAAACACTTTATAGTGTGGTTAATGATGACATCTGGGTTGTGTTCAACTGCCCCCCCCATCTCTTTCTCTCTTTCAGTTCTTCTCCCCCATAGCATCAGGCATCAGCTCGGAGTCGTTCTTCCGTTCTCAGTCTCAGGAGTCCAACAGCGCCAAGATATCCTGCCTTATCAGAACCCTCAGCAACGGAGAGAGGGAGAGGGGGATGGAGGGAGGGATAGACAGGGGGATAGGTGGGTTCCAGTCCATGATTAGGGGCTTCTCAAGCAGTCTTGGGGAGGCGGATGGGGATGGAGGGATAGAGGTAACCTGGGGGGAGAGAGAGAAGGAGAGGGGGACGGAGGGAGGATAGAAGGGGGTCGGCTGGAGCTAGGGGAAGGGGGGAGGCTACAAATCATGCTAAAGGGGTTCCAGGGTGGGATTGGAGAGGTAGATGGGGAGACAGAGAGGGAGGAGAGGGGATGGGGGGAGACTGGGAGACAAGAGGGATGGAGGGAGGTAACGAAGGAGGAGAGGGTGGTGGAGGGGGGGAGTGTGGAGGGAGGGAGGATGCAGTCAATGTTTAGGGAGCTGAGTGGGGGGGAGTATGGTTGGGTTTGGGGATATGCTCTCTCTGGATGATATTGGGGGGATAGAGAGGATAGGGGACATGGATATGAATATGAACATGGGGGTGGTAGGGGTCAGGGGTGACATGGCTAATGTTGGGGTCATAAGTCATAAGGTCAGGAGTGAGTTAGGGGTCAGAGGTCAGGGGGTGAGGTCGGGGGTACAGGTGAGCATGCGGACAACATCCAATCAGAACTCTTCTAAGACCTGCAGCGTACGACAGGGAACCAAAATCAATATGGCCGCCACCGCCGCGACGCTGGACATGAACATGATGGACCTGGGCTGGTCTGACGACGACAGTGACTAGGAGAACACACAAACACTATTTTGTTTCTGTTATGTCATTTTCTTTTTTAATTGAAGCCAAACGTATACACGCCCCTGTGTGTGAGGACTGTAGGGGATAATAGTGAAGAATTATGAGCAGTGTGGATTTCCTCCTGCTAACTGTCATGTTGTTCTGGGCCCGGCTTCCCAAAAGCATCCTAAGGCTAAGTTCATCCATAAAGTTCTAACAATGAACTTAGCCTTAGGATGCTTTTGGGAAACCGGGCCCTAGTCTATTGAAGCTTTTAAAGTGACATGTAACTGATGTGCCATATTAACAAGTGTTACATAGACCATAGAGCACTTGAACACCACTCCTTTTTAGATGCTAGGACTAGGTAAAGGGTACCATCCAATGTTTTCTGCTTTTAGATTTGTACACTTGTTAGACGATACAGTTGATTTGTTAAAAATAATAAGCTTTGAAGTAATGGGTTCTTACTGTGATCAAATGTGTGAAACTATTTTGCAGCTTGTACTGTATTGTTTTTCAATAAATTCAGAAAAATACAGATATATTCATACTAATTCATATGAAAAAAACTTAATATAGCTTTATACATTTTCATATAGCTTTCAGGTGCTAAAACAGTACTATACAAATTCCGTTTATATTTCAATAGCAGCATGAAACCTGGTTTGAGGGATATGTAGTAAAACATGCGTATTTTACATAAAATAACTTTTCTCACACTTAGCAACATAATGCAGAAAATACACACCCTACGAATAACTAAAGAAAAAACTACCTTGCCTCTTTCCAACCTCAAAAAAGCCATTTTTAACCAACAGTCTTGTAGAGCATCAGGCCCCTCATCCTTCTCCACCTTCACCTCATTTCTCTCACAAGCAGAGTTCCTACCCTGACAGCTCACACACTGAGCAGCAGTGCCACCCCAGCCAGTACCCACTTGGCTGGTCTCTCTCTGGTCTTGAGGCTGAAGGTCCAGACATAAGTGGTTCCTCTCAGCTTGGTCTTGTACAGGGGACACTCATAGATGTTACGCGTCTCCTGTCTGTCGTTAGGTACGGCTCGGACTGAGATGACTGGCATGGAGGGGGTTAACTCCTTCAGACGAGCCTCAGTGATCACCCCACCCTGAGTGTCCCATCTTGCACCTATGGGACAAAGAGGGAAAAATGAAGATAAATGAACTAGGATGTATGTGTTCATGAGAAGGAGAGGAGTGTATACCTTCCATGTACAGGTAAAAGTCAGTAAATTAGAATATTTTGAAAAACTTTATTTATTTCAGTAATTGCATTCAAAAGGTGTAACTTGTACATTATATTTATTCATTGCACACAGACTGATGCATTCAAATGTTTATTTCATTTAATTTTGATGATTTGAAGTGGCAACAAATGAAAATCCAAAATTCCGTGTGTCACAAAATTAGAATATTGTGTAAGGGTTACATTTTGAAGACACCTGGTGCCACAAAATAATCAGCTGATTAACTCAAAACACCTGCAAAGGGCTTTAAATGGTCTCTCAGTCCAGTTCTGAAGCCTACACAAACATGGGGAAGACTTCAGATTTGACAGCTGTCCAAAAGGCGACCATCGACACATTGCACAAGGAGGGAAAGACACAAAAGGTTATTGCAGAAGAGGCTGGCTGTTCTCAGAGCTCTGTGTCCAAACACATTAATAGAGAGGCAAAGGGGAAGGAAAAACTGTGGTCAGAAAAAGTGTACAAGCGATAGGGATCACCGCGCCCTAGTCAAGATTGTGAAAAAAAACCCATTCAAAAATGTGGGGGAGATTCACAAGGAGTGGACAGCTGCTGGAGTCAGGGCTTCAAGATCCACCACCAAGAGACGCTTGAAAGACATGGGTTTCAACTGCCGCATACCTCGTGTCAAGCCACTGTTGACCAAGAAACAGCGCGAAAAGCGTCTCACCTGGGCTAAGGAAAAAAAGAGCTGGACTGCTGCTGAGTGGTCTAAAGTCATGTTTTCTGACGAAAGCAAATTTTGCATTTCCTTTGGAAATCGAGGTCCCAGAGTCTGGAGGAAGACAGGAGAGGCACAGGATCCACGTTGCCTGAAGTCTAGTGTAAAGTTTCCACCATCAGTGATGGTTTGGGGTGCCATGTCATCTGCTGGTGTCGGTCCACTCTGTTTCCTGAGATCAAGGGTCAACGCAGCCGTCTACCAGCAAGTTTTAGAGCACTTCATGCTTCCTGCTGCTGACCTGCTCTATGGAGATGGAGATTTCAGGTTCCAACAGGACTTGGCGCCTGCACACAGCGCAAAATCTACCCGTGCCTGGTTTACGGACCATGGTATTTCTGTTCTAAATTGGCCAGCCAACTCCCCTGACCTTAGCCCCATAGAAAATCTGTGGGGTATTGTGAAAAGGAAGATGCAGAATGCCAGACCCAACAACGCAGAAGAGTTGAAGGCCACTATCAGAGCAACCTGGGCTCTCATAACACCTGAGCAGTGCCAGAAAACTCATCGACTCCATGCCACGCCGCATTAATGCAGTAATTGAGGCAAAAGGAGCTCCAACCAAGTATTGAGTATTGTACATGCTCATATTTTTCATTTTCATACTTTTCAGTTGGCCAACATTTCTAAAAAATCCCTTTTTTGTATTAGCCTTAAGTAATATTCTAATTTTGTGACACACGGAATTTTGGATTTTCATTTGTTGCCACTTCAAATCATCAAAATTAAATGAAATAAACATTTGAATGCATCAGTCTGTGTGCAATGAATAAATATAATGTACAAGTTACACCTTTTGAATGCAATTACTGAAATAAATCAAGTTTTTCAAAATATTCTAATTTACTGACTTTTACCTGTATAGTCCGTATACGTATGCTCCCTCTCTGGCAGGCTGGTTGAACTCTTCCTTAAATTTCTTAGTCACATCCACAGTCAGGTTCATCTTATCTAACGGCCACTCATTCTTACGAGCCAGAGACTGCATCACCGCTGGAGGGAGAGAGGGTAGTTGAGCAAATCATTCCACTGAACAGAGAATACCAAGAGGCAACTGACAGTTACAACATAAGTTGGTTGGGTATGTTGTTTGTAAGTGTGTAGGGGGATGTGCGTGTATGTTACCTGTTAAGAAGGACTGTGGGTTAAAGAGTCCAGACAGCCAGACGACGGTGGGCAGAGCCAGGTCCTGTGTCCAGCTGTCCAGCTCTCTACAGCGCAGCAACACGTCATTATATCTGGTAAACACACACACACATAGCAACACATCATCTTAAGTACACGTTGGGACAGTGGGAGAGTACACACAGTGACTCACCACTGGGCCAGGCTGTAAGTGGAGGGGTAGGCCAGTTTGGTCCAGGTGTCTGGGACGTTATCAAAGAACAGAGCTGACTGGATCTGCTCCATCTCTGAGGAGATAGCCAGCTCACCCTGGAAGGAGAAAAAAACATCACTGTTATGAGAGACAACTACCAATTCACCCTTATGTCATCTATCAGTCCTAGTCTAATTTCCCAACTGACCCCTAGCCCCTAACCCACCTTCAGCCCCAGGTCCAGCTCCTTGAGTGAGCGTCGTATCTCGTCGATGATTGTGTTCATACGTTCACACTCCTGGAAGCAGACCAGGATGTATGGTGATCTCTCAGCAGTCTTAGACGTGATGTCTGACATGTTGTACTCTTCTGGAAGCTTCTCCAACACCTCGTCTAGGATGGTCTTCACCTGCAGGGAGGATGAGGGATGAGTGTGTGTGGGTCCGCTGTATGTGTGTGTCTGCTATGAGTGTGTCTGTTATGAATATGCCTGGTGTGTGTGTGTGTGTGTGTCTCTCACACACACCTTCTCCTCTACGGTCTGTGAAGCCCCCTCTCCCATCACAGAATCAGGTGACTGCAGCTCCAGCAGTGTGTGGAAAAGGTTATCAGAGGTCACCGTCAGAAACTCTATCTCTGCGTTGGGGTGTAGTCCATAATGCACCGGGCTCTCGTGGGGCAGCATCTCATCTACATAACCATGGTAACCCTGGTAGTCCAGGTTGGAGGGAACCACAAAGCCCGGAGCCAGAGCCAACTTCCTGTCAAACTGGTGGGAAACAGGATGGAAAGGGTGTAGGTTTATTGTTAACACTATCATCACAATCGTAACACACACACACACCTGGTTGGGCTGCATATATTCCTCCAGGTAGGTTCTACAGAGTCTTCTGTCCCAGTCGTCTGTGATGTGACCTCCATACATGATCTCTCCAAACAGATAGCGCAAGTCCTCCCACGGCACCTAAACATGCGCAAGCACACACACGCACACACAAAATACATGAACAATGACTCATCATCATCATCAATATAAACATCATCAATCATCAATACAGTCATGATCATCACCATCCTGATCACTATAACACGGTAAACAGTGACCTGTGAGTTGGCCTCCAGGTAGTTGTAGAGCACGTTGACAGAGATGGTGAGGTCTCCAGTGTTAAAGGGGTATTTCCTGTTCCAACCCTGAGGACCGAACTTACGCCTCTCAGCCACACAGGCATGAAAATAACACAGAGAGAACAGGATGGTCTTAAACTCCTGCTCTCTACTGCACTGATCCAATATGTCCTACAGAGAGATAGACAGAGAGAGAGAGAGAGAGCGAGAGAGAGAGAGCGAGGGTGGTTGTGGAAGGAGTTTGTGAGATATTGATAATATACAGTTGAAGTCGGAAGTTTACATACACTTAGGTTGGAGACATTAAAACTAGTTTTTCAACCACTCCCATTTCCTTTTAACAAACTATAGTTTTGGCAAGTCGGTTAGGACTTCTAATATGTGCATGACACAAGTAATTTTTCCAACAATTGTTTACAGACAGATTATTTCACTTATAATTCACTGTATCACAATTCCAGTGGGTCAGAAGTTTACATATACTAAGTTGACTGTGCCTTTAAACAGCTTGGAAAATTCCAGAAAATGATGTCATGGCTTTAGAAGCTTCTGATAGGCTAATTGACATCATTTGAGTCAATTGGAGGTGTACCTGTTGATGTATTTCAAGGCCTACCTTCAAACTCAGTGCCTCTTTGCTTGACATCGTGGGAAAATCAAAGGAAATCAGCCAAGACCTCAGAATAAAAATTATAGACCTCCACAAGTCTGGTTCATCCTTGGGAGCAATTTCCAAATGCCTAAAGGTGCCACGTTCATCTGTACAAACAATAGTACGCAAGTATAAACACCATGGGACCACGCAGCTGTCATACCGCTCAGGAAGAAGACGCGTTTTGTCTCCTAGAGATGAATGTACTTTGGTGCGAAAAGTGCAAATCAATCCCAGAACAACAGCAAAGGACCTTGTGAAGATGCTGGAGGAAACAGGTACAAAAGTATCTATATCCACAGTAAAACGAGTCCTATATCGACATAACCTTAAAGGCCGCGCAGCAAGGAAGAAGCCACTGCTCCAAAACCGCCATAAAAAACCCAGACTATGGTTTGCAACTGCACATGGGGACAAAGATTGTACTTTTTGAGAAATGTCCTCTGGTCTGATGAAACAAAAATAGAACTGTTTGGCCATAATGACCATCGTTATGTTTGGAGGAAAAAGGGGGACCTTGCAAGCCGAAGAACACCATCCCAAAAGTGAAGCACGGAGGTGGCAGCATCATGCTGTGGGGGTGCTTTGCTGCAGGAGGGACTGGTGCACTTCACAAAATAGATGGCATCATGAGGAAGGAAAATTATGTGGATATATTGAAGCAACATCTCAAGACATCAGTCAGGAAGTTAAAGTTTGGTCACAAATGAGTCTTCCAAATGGACAATGACCCCAAGCGTACTTACAAAGTTGTGGCAAAATGGCTTAAGGACAACAAAGTCAAGGTATTGGAGTGGCCATCACAAAGCCCTGACATCAATCCTATAGAAAATGTGTGGGCAGAACTGAAAAAGCGTGTGCGAGCAAGGAGGCCTACAAACCTGACTCAGTTACACCAGCTCTGTCAGGAGGAATGGGCCAAAATTCACCCAACTTATTGTGGGAAGCATGTGGAAGGCTACCCGAAATGTTTGACCCAAATTAAACAATTTAAAGGCAATGCTACCAAATACTAATTGAGTGTATGTAAACTTCTGACCCACTGGGAATGTGATGAAAGAAATAAAAGCTGAAATAAATCATTCTCTCTACAATTATTCTGACATTCTTAAAATAAAGTGGTGATCCTAACTGACCTAAAACAGGGAATTTTTACTAGGATTAAATGTCAGGAATTGTGAAAAACTTAGTTTAAATGTATTTGGCTAAGGTGTATGTAAACTTCCGACTTCAACTGTATTAGGACAGCAGTTAGGGATGGGGAGGTACTTGAATATTCAAACCGAGCTTAGGCTAGAATTGGATCAACTGTTGTAAGTATTTCGATTCTTAAGACATTCTTGCACACAAGGATATACCATGATATATATATACACAGTTCCAGTCAAAAGTTTGGACACACCTACTCATTCCAGGGTTTTTCTTTATTTTTACTATTTTCTACATTGTAGAATAATAGTGAAGACATCAAAACTATGAAATAACACATATGGAATCATGTAGTAACCAAAAAAGTGTTATAAAATATATTTTGATTTGTTTATTTGAGATTCTTCAAAGAAACCACCCTTTGCCTTGACAGCTTTGCACACTCTTGGCATTCTCTCAATCAGCTTCATGGGGTAGTCATCTGGAATGCATTTCAATTAACAGCTGTGCCTTCTTAAAAGTTAATTTGTGGAATTTCTTCCCTTCTTAATGTGTTTGAGCCAATCAGTTGTGTTGTGACAAGGTAGGGGTGGTATACAGAAGATAGCCCTATTTGATAAAAGACCAAGTCCATATTATGGCAAGAACAGCTCAAATAATCAAAGAGAAATGACAGTCCATCATTACTTTAAGACATGAAGGTCAGTCAATACGGAAAACTTCAACAACTTTGAAAGTTTCTTCAAGTGCAGTCGCAAAAACCATAAAGTGCTATGATGAAACTGGCTCTCATGAGGACTGCCACAGGAATGGAAGACCCAGAGTTACCTCTGCTGCAGAGGATATGTTAAATAGAGTTACCAGCCTCAGAAATTGCAGACCAAATAAATGCTTCACAGAGTTCAAGTAACAGACACATCTCAACATCAACTGTTCAGAGGAGACTGTGTGAATCAGGCCTTCGTGGTCGATTTGCTGCAAAGAAACCACTACTAAAGGACACCAATAATTAGAAGAGACTTGCTTGGGCAAAGAAACACGAGCAGTGGACATTAGACCGATGGAAATTTGTCCTTTGGTCTGGAGTCCAAATTGGAGATGTATGGTTCCAACTGCCGTGTCTTTATGAGACGTGGTGTGGGTGAACGGATGATCTCCGCATGTGTATTTCCCACCGTAAAGCATGTAGGAGGAGGTGTTATGGTGTGGGGGTGCTTTGCTGGTGACACTGTCTGTGATTTATTTAGAATTCAAGGCACACTTAACCAGCATGGCTACCGCAACATTCTGCAGCGATACACCATCCCATCTGGTTTGGGCTTAGTGGAACTATAATTTGTTTTTCAACAGGACAATGAACCAACACACCTCCAGCCTGTGGAAGGACTATTTTACCACGAATGAGAGTGCTGCATCAGATGACCTTGCCTCCACAATCCCCCGACCTCAACCCAATTGAGATGGTTTGGGATGAGTCGGACCACAGAGTGAAGGAAAAGCAGCCAACAGGTGCTCAGCATATGTGGGAACTCCTTCAAGACTGTTGGAAAAGCATTCTAGGTGAAGCCAGTAGTGTGCAAAGCTGTCATCAAGGCAACTGATTTTTTAATTTTTTAATTTCACCTTTATTTAACCAGGTAAGCCAGTTGAGAACAAGTTCTCATTTACAACTGCCACCTGGCCAAGATAAAGCAAAGCAGTGCAATAAAAACAACAACACAGAGTTACATATGGGGTAAAACAAAACATAAAGTCAAAAATACTACAGAAAATATATACAGTGTGTGCAAATGTAGAAAGTTATGGAGGTAAGGCAATAAATAGGCCATAGTGCAAAATAATTACAATTAGTATTAACACTGGAATGATAGATGTACAAGAGATAATGTGCAAATAGAGATACTGGGGTGTAAATTAGCAAAATAAATAACAATATGGGGATGAGGTAGTTGGGTGGGCTAATTTCAGATGGGCTGTGTACAGGTGCAGTGATCAGTAAGGTGGTCTGACAACTGATGCTTGAAGTTAGATAAGTGTCTCCAGCTTCAGAGATTAGGATAAGCTAAGATAAGGAGGGGATTTGCCTAGAAGTGATTTATAGATGGCCTGGAGCCAGTGGGTTTGGCAACGAATATGTAGTGTGGACCAGCCAACAAGAGCATACAGGTCGCAGTGGTGGGTAGTATATGGGACTTTGGGCGGGTGAAGAGCATGCATTTCATTTTACTTGTGTTTAAGAGCAGTTGGAGGCTACGGAAGTTGTGTTGTATGGCATTGAAGCTCGTTTGGAGGTTTGTTAACACAGTGTCCAATGAAGGGCCAGATGTATACAAAATGGTGTCGTCTGCCTAGAGGTGGATCTGAGAATCACCAGCAGCAAGAGCGGTGTTTGAAGAATCTCAAATATAAAATATATTTTTATGTGTTTAATACTTTTTTGGTTACTACATGATTCCATATGTGTTATTTCATAGTTTTGATGTCTTCACTATTATTCTACAATGTAGAAAAACCCTTGAATGAGTAGGTGTGTCCAAACCTTTAACTGGTACGGTATATCTTTTTTTATAACTTTGGAGTGTAGTTTTAGACGTTTTTATTTGAGCTACTGCTGGTTCTTATGTTGCGTTTTACACGAAAAGGCTATTTAGCCTACTTCTATAACGCATTTTAAGCTAGTCCTTCAGTCAGTCCTGACATAGAAGTAGGCCTGTATGCTCCCCACTTCAAATAGCGATTATAGGCGAGCACCTATTTGTCCCTAGGCTAAATGCTCATTATCGGAGTAGATTGCTAAAGTGAAATGACTAACGCACCCTTTAGGGGGAAGAAGAGTCTGGTGGTGAACGAGATAAGCGCGCACCTGACAGAGGTGCCAATTTAATTTGACAGACCATTGAGATCCATGCAAAACACTCGCAGATACATGTTATTCATCCATTGAGGCCAGAAATATAACGCTGTAGCGTAGCAGTCACTCAAAGATTATTTCGTTTTCAACGTATTGAGCTAGGCTATAGCAAATATGAGGCAAATTCTATCATGGCGAAAATCTGACTTTATTTATTTGTGTTATTTATTTATTTTTGCCAACATCAAACTTAATCTTTCACAAAATCGCCTCTATGACATGCCTCTTTATTACGACGGGGACACACAATTTCAGAACGCTCGATTTCAGAACCTTGGACAATTCCGATGTTCACAACCATAACAGCCTTGAACTCAAAGCACCTGGACAACCCGTCTTTACCTTTCAATTAACGAAGAAAATATTGAATTATCTTTACAATTTTTCACATATCAACTTGAAATCAGTGAGTAATATTTTTGTTTTGCTTTGAAATGTTATATTGCTCATGTTTATGAACACATAACCCTAATGTCTATGCTTAATACTCTTTGATTTAGATTATGTCCCACATGGAACCCTATTTCCTATATATTGCACTACTTTGACCAGACTCCTATAGGCCTTGGTAAAAAGCAGTGCACTATATAGGGAATAGGTTGCCATCTGGGAGACACCCAGAGCTGAGCTAGATAGGCCTACTGAACTGATGCCATGCATTTCATTTTGCTAATATTGAAGCATTTTGTTTTCCACAGGCACTATTGACCATGGGATCCGCAATGTCTATCTCACTCCGCGAGAAGGCAGTCCACTTCAAAGATGGGCCGGACACGGTGGGCCACTTCTTTGAAGTCCAGACCCGTAAGAGCGGCAAAGACAAGACCCTGAAGCGCTACTCGCCATGGAGGTGGATTGTGAAGAAGAAGGGCTCCAAGAAGGTGCAGGCCCACGAGAACACCAACCAAAACAACATCGCCCATCTGAGTAACGAGAACCTGGAGAAGTCTCAGTCCTCCTCCAACTTGTCCACCCTCACCCTGGAGAAGTCTCAATCCTGTGACAAGCTGTCCACCCAGTACCAGAGCACTCCAGCCATCGCCAACAGCTCCAACAACGCCGCCTCGTCGGTCGAGAAGGCCCCCTTGACCAACTCCAACACGGCCCCCGACACGCCCCAGACGGTGATCGTCCAGGACCTCGACACGCCCAAGAGGCTGGTGATGGTCCATGCTACAACCGGCGAGCTGCTGCGCTGCCTGGGTGAGTTCCTGTGCCGGCGCTGCTACCTGATCCAGGACATGTCTTCCATGGACCCGGAGCTGTGGCTGCGGGTGGTTGACCGTTATCTGCTGGACAACTGCTATCAGAACCAGAGCTGCATCAACCCGGCCATGGTGGTCTTCCTCTACATGCTGTGCCGCGAGGCGGTCTCCTCCGAGGTGGCCACCTTGCATGAGCTGCAAGCCGTGCTGCTTACCTGCCTCTACACGACCTGCTCCTACATTGGCAACCAGATCTCCTACCCCCTGAGACCCTTCCTGGTGGAGACCTGCAGGCAGACCTTCTGGATCCGCTGCATGTCCATCACCAAGCTGATGAGTGGTAAGATGCTCCAGATGAACACAGACCCTAACTTCTTCTCCCAGATGTTTGCTGACCTGAAGAACGAGAGCCAGAAGGAGGAGAAGAAGAGCCGCCTGCTCAGCGGTGTGTACAGCACTCAGTGAGGGACCTAGGGTAGAGGGGCCAGGGGAGGGGAGGGGCCTACTATAGCCTGACATTTCAAAATGGGAGGGAGGAGGATTGGTTCAGGGAATGGGTAGAGGGTGAGCTTTGATGGGAAAATATGATTTATAGATTTTAAGGGTTAATATGAGGGTTAATTTGGCTTGAAAGAGAACACAAATCGGTAGGTATGAATGTGTAGAGGACTGAGGCTGTAGCTTACTATCTACTGTACCAGCTGACTGTCTGACGTGTGCACTGCCTACCACGGGAGGATTGGAGGCACACGAGTGACTGTGCTAGTGCTCACATCACACAGGCTGCAGCCTACCAGCCTACTGTTCTGACTGTGTGAGATGTGCACTTTCTACCACGGGAGGGAAGGAGGCACCCTTGTGTGAGTGGGCTAGTGCTCAGATCATGGTTGAACAGACAAGCTGCAACCCTGCCGCTTTAGACTGTGAAGTGAACACCCATGTTCCCCCACAGCAAGCACAGGACTGGACAGTTCTGGGGGACAGGGGTTCGTTTGAGGACCATTGGTTCTGATGAACTTGAACGAACAGTGTGACTGTTTTGGAATAAAATGCTATATATATTCTCTTAAACATCCAGTGTTGTGTCCTTATTATTTTACAATTGATATTTTCCATGTCATTTTGAGATCTTGGTGGAGATAATACTTTACCAGTGGTGGAAAAAGTACCCAATTCAGTAAAACTTGAGTAAAAGTAAAGAAAATGACTCAAGTAAAAGTGAAAGTCACCCAGTAAAATACTACTTCAGTAAAAGTCTAAAAGTATCTGGTTTTAAATGTACTTAAGTATCAAAAGTGAAAGCAAAGGCTATATATCAAATTCCTTATATTATGCTAATTGCCTTTATTTTTATTTATTTATGGGAATCCAGGGACACAGTTCAACAATCTTTTACAAACCAGATCAGAGGCAGTAGGGATGCATTTTTCTTAATAAGTACATGAATTTGACCGTTTTGCTGTCCTGCCTGAGCATTAGAAATGTAACGAGCACATATTTTATTTCAGAATGTAGTCAAGTAGAAGTAAAAGTTGTAAAAAATATAAAAACTCAAGTAAAGTACAGATACCTCAAAGTAGTACTTCAAAGTATTTTTACTTAGTTACTTTACACCACTGTACTTTACTAATGATTAGTAAATGTTTTATAAGGGTCTATATTAAACATCTAATAAATTATCCAATAATTCATTTGAAAGTTTATAAATAACTATGTATAGCTTACTAACATTTGCAAATGTAGAAACAGCAATTAGTAAATAGTGAGAACTGTTTATAATAGCCTTATAAATGATCTATTACTGGACATTATTATAAAGTGTGAATCAAACATTTGATGAGATTATTTTGAACAATAATTTCAATTGCCCATCCCTAACACCAGTGGACAGACAGACATTAATACACACATTCCTGTACCTGGTCGAAGTTGTCCAGAGCAGCATGAAGGTTGGCATGCATGCCAGTGGGAGGCTCGTTGGTGATCTTGATGGCATTCTCCAGGATGCCCTGAGTGAGGAGAGGAGAACAAACACACTTTTAAATTAGGAAAACACACCGTGTTATTATAAATGCATGTGTGTGTATGTGTGTGTGTGTGTACCTGAGGGATGATGTGCTCCTGTGGTGTGGGGGCAGGCTCAGCACTCATAAACACTCTGTAGTCCTGGTGACTGCCCTCACAGCAGCGTTCCAGAAGCTTCTCCAACGACCCCAGCCAGCGAGCCACCAGGTGGATATTCTGACAGAGATGAATGAATGAATGAATGAATGAATGAATGAATGATGAATGGATGAATGGATGGATGGATGAACAAATGTAAGCGCGAACAAACTAATAAATTGATTAATGAAACAATGAATGGATGGAAGGATGGATGGATGCAATGATGAATGAATGAATTATGTTTTATGTACAGTATATAGCAGGATAGCCATACCTGTAAAATGACCCAGTGTCCCTCCTTAGCAGCCATCTCCATGGCGACCTCAGCCACAGCCTCCTGACCCTGACCCAAAGACACATTGTGGAGTTTCCCCAGGTCTATGGTGAACCCCAACTTCCTGCCTGTTACCATGGAAACAATATTTTCTCAGTGTGTGTGTGTGCTAAATGACGTAAATGTAAATGTAATGTGTCATATTCATGCAGATTTACAGTGATCTTTACATTACAAAATTAGTTGTCTTAGTGTTACCCAGTGACTCCACGTCTTTGAGAGGGTCTACTCCAGGAGACAGGATGAAGAATACAGGCGAGGCAGGTCCACTCTCTCTGAAGGACTTAGCAAACTCTGTCTTCCTCCCCTCTGTATACTTCACCCCCAACTTCTCCTCCACAAAGTTCCTACAGACAGAAAGAGAGTGCGCGAGAGCGAGGGGAGGGTATGTGGAGGGAGATTGATCGTCATTATAATTTGCCAGAGACATATAAAAGATGGGGATGGAGGGAGAGAAGAGGAGAGGGAGAGAAGAGGAGAGGGAGAGAAGACTGAGACTGTGGGAGGAGAGATTGATGGAGAGGTCCAATGTCACCCCTGTGAGTAGCCTACATATTTGCCGGGTTTCAAAGACCATGATGCTTCATTCATAAACATTTTCTATTTGTTTTACAACCTTATTTGAGATTTAGATATTAGAAACAGTCATGTTGTATGGTGTCAAAGCCCCGCATCCCTAGAGTAACAACACATTTATAGTGTGGTTAATGATGACATCTGGGTTGTGTTCAACTGCCCCCCCCCATCTCTTTCTCTCTTTCAGTTCTTCTCCCCCATAGCATCAGGCATCAGCTCGGAGTCGTTCTTCCGTTCTCAGTCTCAGGAGTCCAACAGCGCCAAGATATCCTGCCTTATCAGAACCCTCAGCAACGGAGAGAGGGAGAGGGGGATGGAGGGAGGGATAGACAGGGGGATAGGTGGGTTCCAGTCCATGATTAGGGGCTTCTCAAGCAGTCTTGGGGAGGCGGATGGGGATGGAGGGATAGAGGTAACCTGGGGGGAGAGAGAGAAGGAGAGGGGGACGGAGGGAGGGATAGAAGGGGGTCGGCTGGAGCTAGGGGAAGGGGGGAGGCTACAAATCATGCTAAAGGGGTTCCAGGGTGGGATTGGAGAGGTAGATGGGGAGACAGAGAGGGAGGAGAGGGGATGGGGGGAGACTGGGAGACAAGAGGGATGGAGGGAGGTAACGAAGGAGGAGAGGGTGGTGGAGGGGGGGAGTGTGGAGGGAGGGAGGATGCAGTCAATGTTTAGGGAGCTGAGTGGGGGGAGTATGGTTGGGTTTGGGGATATGCTCTCTCTGGATGATATTGGGGGGATAGAGAGGATAGGGGACATGGATATGAATATGAACATGGGGGTGGTAGGGGTCAGGGGTGACATGGCTAATGTTGGGGTCATAAGTCATAAGGTCAGGAGTGAGTTAGGGGTCAGAGGTCAGGGGGTGAGGTCGGGGGTACAGGTGAGCATGCGGACAACATCCAATCAGAACTCTTCTAAGACCTGCAGCGTACGACAGGGAACCAAAATCAATATGGCCGCCACCGCCGCGACGCTGGACATGAACATGATGGACCTGGGCTGGTCTGACGACGACAGTGACTAGGAGAACACACAAACACTATTTTGTTTCTGTTATGTCATTTTCTTTTTTAATTGAAGCCAAACGTATACACGCCCCTGTGTGTGAGGACTGTAGGGGATAATAGTGAAGAATTATGAGCAGTGTGGATTTCCTCCTGCTAACTGTCATGTTGTTCTGGGCCCGGTTTCCCAAAAGCATCCTAAGGCTAAGTTCATCCATAAAGTTCTAACAATGAACTTAGCCTTAGGATGCTTTTGGGAAACCGGGCCCTAGTCTATTGAAGCTTTTAAAGTGACATGTAACTGATGTGCCATATTAACAAGTGTTACATAGACCATAGAGCACTTGAACACCACTCCTTTTTAGATGCTAGGACTAGGTAAAGGGTACCATCCAATGTTTTCTGCTTTTAGATTTGTACACTTGTTAGACGATACAGTTGATTTGTTCAAAATAATAAGCTTTGAAGTAATGGGTTCTTACTGTGATCAAATGTGTGAAACTATTTTGCAGCTTGTACTGTATTGTTTTTCAATAAATTCAGAAAAATACAGATATATTCATACTAATTCATATGAAAAAACTTAATATAGCTTTATACATTTTCATATAGCTTTCAGGTGCTAAAACAGTACTATACAAATTCCTTTTATATTTCAATAGCAGCATGAAACCTGGTTTGAGGGATATGTAGTAAAACATGCGTATTTTACATAAAATAACTTTTCTCTCACTTAGCAACATAATGCAGAAAATACACACCCTACGAATAACTAAAGAAAAAACTACCTTGACTCTTTCCAACCTCAAAAAAGCCCTTTTTAACCAACAGTCTTGTAGAGCATCAGGCCCCTCATCCTTCTCCACCTTCACCTCATTTCTCTCACAAGCAGAGTTCCTACCCTGACAGCTCACACACTGAGCAGCAGTGCCACCCCAGCCAGTACCCACTTGGCTGGTCTCTCTCTGGTCTTGAGGCTGAAGGTCCAGACATAAGTGGTTCCTCTCAGCTTGGTCTTGTACAGGGGACACTCATAGATGTTACGCGTCTCCTGTCTGTCGTTAGGTACGGCTCGGACTGAGATGACTGGCATGGAGGGGGTTAACTCCTTCAGACGAGCCTCAGTGATCACCCCACCCTGAGTGTCCCATCTTGCACCTATGGGACAAAGAGGGAAAAATGAAGATAAATGAACTAGGATGTATGTGTTCATGAGAAGGAGAGGAGTGTATACCTTCCATGTATAGTCCGTATACGTATGCTCCCTCTCTGGCAGGCTGGTTGAACTCTTCCTTAAATTTCTTAGTCACATCCACAGTCAGGTTCATCTTATCTAACGGCCACTCATTCTTACGAGCCAGAGACTGCATCACCGCTGGAGGGAGAGAGGGTAGTTGAGCAAATAATTCCACTGAACAGAGAATACCAAGAGGCAACTGACAGTTACAACATAAGTTGGTTGGGTATGTTGTTTGTAAGTGTGTAGGGGGATGTGCGTGTATGTTACCTGTTAAGAAGGACTGTGGGTTAAAGAGTCCAGACAGCCAGACGACGGTGGGCAGAGCCAGGTCCTGTGTCCAGCTGTCCAGCTCTCTACAGCGCAGCAACACGTCATTATACCTGGTAAACACACACACACATAGCAACACATCATCTTAAGTACACGTTGGGACAGTGGGAGAGTACACACAGTGACTCACCACTGGGCCAGGCTGTAAGTGGAGGGGTAGGCCAGTTTGGTCCAGGTGTCTGGGACGTTATCAAAGAACAGAGCTGACTGGATCTGCTCCATCTCTGAGGAGATAGCCAGCTCACCCTGGAAGGAGAAAAAAACATCACTGTTATGAGAGACAACTACCAATTCACCCTTATGTCATCTATCAGTCCTAGTCTAATTTCCCAGCTGACCCCTAGCCCCTAACCCACCTTCAGCCCCAGGTCCAGCTCCTTGAGTGAGCGTCGTATCTCGTAGATGAGCGTGTTCATACGTTCACACTCCTGGAAGCAGACCAGGATGTATGGTGATCTCTCAGCAGTCTTAGACGTGATGTCTGACATGTTGTACTCTTCTGGAAGCTTCTCCAACACCTCGTCTAGGATGGTCTTCACCTGCAGGGAGGATGAGGGATGAGTGTGTGTGGGTCCGCTGTATGTGTGTGTCTGCTATGAGTGTGTCTGTTATGAATATGCCTGGTGTGTGTGTGTGTGTGTGTCTCTCACACACACCTTCTCCTCTACGGTCTGTGAAGCCCCCTCTCCCATCACAGAATCAGGTGACTGCAGCTCCAGCAGTGTGTGGAAGAGGTTATCAGAGGTCACCGTCAGAAACTCTATCTCTGCGTTGGGGTGTAGTCCATAATGCACCGGGCTCTCGTGGGGCAGCATCTCATCTACGTAACCATGGTAACCCTGGTAGTCCAGGTTGGAGGGAACCACAAAGCCCGGAGCCAGAGCCAACTTCCTGTCAAACTGGTGGGAAACAGGATGGAAAGGGTGTAGGTTTATTTTTAACACTATCATCACAATCGTAACACACACACACACCTGGTTGGGCTGCATATATTCCTCCAGGTAGGTTCTACAGAGTCTTCTGTCCCAGTCGTCTGTGATGTGACCTCCATACATGATCTCTCCAAACAGATAGCGCAAGTCCTCCCACGGCACCTAAACATGCGCAAGCACACACACGCACACACAAAATACATGAACAATGACTCATCATCATCATCAATATAAACATCATCAATCATCAATACAGTCATGATCATCACCATCCTGATCACTATAACACGGTAAACAGTGACCTGTGAGTTGGCCTCCAGGTAGTTGTAGAGCACGTTGACAGAGATGGTGAGGTCTCCAGTGTTAAAGGGGTATTTCCTGTTCCAACCCTGAGGACCGAACTTACGCCTCTCAGCCACACAGGCATGAAAATAACACAGAGAGAACAGGATGGTCTTAAACTCCTGCTCTCTACTGCACTGATCCAATATGTCCTACAGAGAGAAAGACAGAGAGAGAGAGAGAGCGAGAGAGAGAGAGCGAGGGTGGTTGTGGAAGGAGTTTGTGAGATATTGATAATATACAGTTGAAGTCGGAAGTTTACATACACTTAGGTTGGAGACATTAAAACTAGTTTTTCAACCACTCCCATTTCCTTTTAACAAACTATAGTTTTGGCAAGTCGGTTAGGACTTCTAATATGTGCATGACACAAGTAATTTTTCCAACAATTGTTTACAGACAGATTATTTCACTTATAATTCACTGTATCACAATTCCAGTGGGTCAGAAGTTTACATATACTAAGTTGACTGTGCCTTTAAACAGCTTGGAAAATTCCAGAAAATGATGTCATGGCTTTAGAAGCTTCTGATAGGCTAATTGACATCATTTGAGTCAATTGGAGGTGTACCTGTTGATGTATTTCAAGGCCTACCTTCAAACTCAGTGCCTCTTTGCTTGACATCGTGGGAAAATCAAAGGAAATCAGCCAAGACCTCAGAATAAAAATTATAGACCTCCACAAGTCTGGTTCATCCTTGGGAGCAATTTCCAAATGCCTAAAGGTGCCACGTTCATCTGTACAAACAATAGTACGCAAGTATAAACACCATGGGACCACGCAGCTGTCATACCTTCTGATAACCAGGTGGCGAATCGCATCTCTGCATGTCTGGCAGACATATCAGTATGGATGACGGATCACCACCTCAAGCTGAACCCTGGCAAGACGGAGCTGCTCTTCCTCCCGGGGAAGGACTGCCCGTTCCATGATCTCGCCATCACGGTTGACAACTCCGCTGTGTCCTCCTCCCAGAGTGCGAAGAGCCTAGGCGTGACCCTGGACAACACCCTGTCGTTCTCCGCCAACATCAAGGCGGTGACCCGCTCCTGCAGGTTCATGCTCTACAACATTCGGAGAGTGCGACCCTGCCTTACACAGGAAGCGGCGCAGGTCCTGGTCCAGGCACTTGTCATCTCCCGTCTGGACTACTGCAACTCGCTGTTGGCTGGGCTCCCTGCCTGTGCCATTAAACCCCTACAACTCATCCAGAATGCCGCAGCCCGTCTGGTGTTCAACCTTCCCAAGTTCTCTCACGTCACCCCCCTCCTCCGCACACTCCACTGGCTTCCAGTTGAAGCTCGCATCCGCTACAAGACCATGGTGCTTGCCTATGGAGCAGTGAGGGGAACGGCACCTCTGTACCTTCAGGCTCTGATCAGTCCCTACACCCAAACGAGGACATTGCGTTCATCCACCTCTGGCCTGCTGGCTCCCCTTCCTCTGCGGAAGCATAGCTCCCGCTCAGCCCAGTCAAAACTGTTCGCTGCTCTGGCACCCCAATGGTGGAACAAGCTCCCTCACGACGCCAGGACAGCGGAGTCACTCACCACCTTCCGGAGACATTTGAAACCCCACCTCTTTAAGGAATACCTGGGATAGGATAAAGTATTCCTTCTAACCCCCCCCCCCCCCCCCCCCCCCCAAATTGTAAAGTGGTTATCCCACTGGCTATAGGGTGAACGCACCAATTTGTGAGTCGCTCTGGCTAAGAGCGTCTGCTAAATGACGTTAATGTGCCCTTGAGCAAGGCACTTAACCCTAATTGCTCCTGTAAGTCGCTCTGGTTAAGAGCGTCTGCTAAATGACTAAAATGTAAATGTAAATACCGCTCAGGAAGAAGACGCGTTTTGTCTCCTAGAGATGAATGTACTTTGGTGCGAAAAGTGCAAATCAATCCCAGAACAACAGCAAAGGACCTTGTGAAGATGCTGGAGGAAACAGGTACAAAAGTATCTATATCCACAGTAAAAACGAGTCCTATATCGACATAACCTTAAAGGCCGCGCAGCAAGGAAGAAGCCACTGCTCCAAAACCGCCATAAAAAACCCAGACTATGGTTTGCAAATGCACATGGGGACAAAGATTGTACTTTTTGAGAAATGTCCTCTGGTCTGATGAAACAAAAATAGAACTGTTTGGCCATAATGACCATCGTTATGTTTGGAGGAAAAAGGGGGACCTTGCAAGCCGAAGAACACCATCCCAACCGTGAAGCACGGAGGTGGCAGCATCATGCTGTGGGGGTGCTTTGCTGCAGGAGGGACTGGTGCACTTCACAAAATAGATGGCATCATGAGGAAGGAAAATTATGTGGATATATTGAAGCAACATCTCAAGACATCAGTCAGGAAGTTAAAGTTTGGTCACAAATGAGTCTTCCAAATGGACAATGACCCCAAGCGTACTTACAAAGTTGTGGCAAAATGGCTTAAGGACAACAAAGTCAAGGTATTGGAGTGGCCATCACAAAGCCCTGACATCAATCCTATAGAAAATGTGTGGGCACAACTGAAAAAGCGTGTGCGAGCAAGGAGGCCTACAAACCTGACTCAGTTACACCAGCTCTGTCAGGAAGAATGGGCCAAAATTCACCCAACTTATTGTGGGAAGCATGTGGAAGGCTACCCGAAATGTTTGACCCAAATTAAACAATTTAAAGGCAATGCTACCAAATACTAATTGAGTGTATGTAAACTTGTAAACTTCTGACCCCACTGGGAATGTGATGAAAGAAATAAAAGCTGAAATAAATCATTCTCTCTACAATTATTCTGACATTCTTAAAATAAAGTGGTGATCCTAACTGACTTAAAACAGGGAATTTTTACTATGATTAAATGTCAGGAATTGTGAAAAACTTAGTTTAAATGTATTTGGCTAAGGTGTATGTAAACTTCCGACTTCAACTGTATTAGGACAGCAGTTAGGGATGGGGAGGTACTTGAAATTTCAAACCGAGCTTAGGCTAGAATTGGATCAACTGTTGTAAGTATTTCGATTCTTAACACATTCTTGCACACAAGGATATACCATGATATATATATATACACAGTTCCAGTCAAAAGTTTGGACACACCTACTCATTCCAGGGTTTTTCTTTATTTTTACTATTTTCTACATTGTAGAATAATAGTGAAGACATCAAAACTATGAAATAACACATATGGAATCATGTAGTAACCAAACAAGTGTTATAAAATATATTTTGATTTGTTTATTTGAGATTCTTCAAAGAAACCACCCTTTGCCTTGACAGCTTTGCACACTCTTGGCATTCTCTCAATCAGCTTCATGGGGTAGTCATCTGGAATGCATTTCAATTAACAGCTGTGCCTTCTTAAAAGTTAATTTGTGGAATTTCTTCCCTTCTTAATGTGTTTGAGCCAATCAGTTGTGTTGTGACAAGGTAGGGGTGGTATACAGAAGATAGCCCTATTTGATAAAAGACCAAGTCCATATTATGGCAAGAACAGCTCAAATAATCAAAGAGAAATGACAGTCCATCATTACTTTAAGACATGAAGGTCAGTCAATACGGAAAACTTCAACAACTTTGAAAGTTTCTTCAAGTGCAGTCGCACAAACCATCAAGTGCTATGATGAAACTGGCTCTCATGAGGACTGCCACAGGAATGGAAGACCCAGAGTTACCTCTGCTGCAGAGGATAAGTTAAATAGAGTTACCAGCCTCAGAAACTGCAGACCAAATAAATGCTTCACAGAGTTCAAGTAACAGACACATCTCAACATCAACTGTTCAGAGGAGACTGTGTGAATCAGGCCTTCGTGGTCGATTTGCTGCAAAGAAAGCACTACTAAAGGACACCAATAATTAGAAGAGACTTGCTTGGGCAAAGAAACACGAGCAGTGGACATTAGACCGATGGAAATGTGTCCTTTGGTCTGGAGTCCAAATTGGAGATGTATGGTTCCAACTGCCGTGTCTTTGTGAGACGTGGTGTGGGTGAACGGATGATCTCCGCATGTGTTTTTCCCACCGTAAAGCATGTAGGAGGAGGTGTTATGGTGTGGGGGTGCTTTGCTGGTGACACTGTCTGTGATTTATTTAGAATTCAAGGCACACTTAACCAGCATGGCTACCGCAACATTCTGCAGCGATACACCATCCCATCTGGTTTGGGCTTAGTGGAACTATAATTTGTTTTTCAACAGGACAATGAACCAACACACCTCCAGCCTGTGGAAGGACTATTTTACCACGAATGAGAGTGCTGCATCAGATGACCTTGCCTCCACAATCCCCCGACGTCAACCCAATTGAGATGGTTTGGGATGAGTCGGACCACAGAGTGAAGGAAAAGCAGCCAACAGGTGCTCAGCATATGTGGGAACTCCTTCAAGACTGTTGGAAAAGCATTCTAGGTGAAGCCAGTAGTGTGCAAAGCTGTCATCAAGGCAACTGATTTTTTAATGTTTTAATTTCACCTTTATTTAACCAGGTAAGCCAGTTGAGAACAAGTTCTCATTTACAACTGCCACCTGGCCAAGATAAAACAAAGCAGTGCAATAAAAACAACAACACAGAGTTACATATGGGGTAAAACAAAACATAAAGTCAAAAATACTACAGAAAATATATACAGTGTGTGCAAATGTAGAAAGTTATGGAGGTAAGGCAATAAATAGGCCATAGTGCAAAATAATTACAATTAGTATTAACACTGGAATGATAGATGTACAAGAGATAATGTGCAAATAGAGATACTGGGGTGTAAATTAGCAAAATAAATAACAATATTGTCACGGTTTCGGCCGAGGCTGCCTCTCTCCCTTGTTCGGGCAGGTTTCGGCGTTCGTCGTCTCCGGAATTCTAGCTGCCACCGTTATATGTTCCATGTTTCCTGTTTGATTAGTTTTGTCTGTTAGCCACACCTGTCTTGTGTTAAGTCTCATTAAGCACCCTATTTAGTTTCCTTGTTGTTAGTGTTGTGTTGTGTGTAATTGTTTCGTGTCAGGTGTTTGTGCGTTACCCGTGTTTCGGTACGCCAGTTACTATTTGCTTCCTCCTCGGTTGAGGAGAGTTTTTGCGCCCTGTGTTTGTGCGCTCGTGTTTGACGCCTGTGTGCGTCTGTTTGGCCTCAGGCCGTTTTTGGATTATTTTGCTCACTAGTAAAGTCTTGTTGGAC